TTTTTTTTTTTCTTCTTTAGCTGATCTCTGGGAACTGAACTTCATGTTTCCAAACCAGAAACTTAGCGGTCAGGTTGGATTTGCCTGAGGACAAGAGAAGCAGCAACATATGCTAAATCCTAATTATTAGCATCTTCATCTCTTTGAATATGGACCCTTCTCCCCATAATCATGGCCATCACCATCAGGGGTCTATCACTAACTCTCCAGGGATCCTGTGCCAGCCTCAGATTCCTCAGTCTCTACCATGTGGCCAGAATAACTGATCAAGCTCAAATCCGGACACGCAAGTCCTCTGTCTACTTTTCAAACTCTTCATTTGATACCTACTGATCCCAGTATAAAATCAAAACTCATTAATTGTAATGAAAACCCTTCTGATCTGGCCCTTGTTTACTTTCCAGTCGCCCTCTCTTTATTCTGTGCTCCTGAAACAAGGCTTATTTGCTGTTCTCTACCACACCATTCTACTTCCTCCTGCTTATCTATACTCATATATTTTCTCCTTTGTTACGATGCTTCCAATTCCTTTCCCGGCCTTCTCTACTTTGTCTTTGGAATTCTAGCTTGGGAATCTTCCCTTTGAGGGCTGGTTAGGTGCCTCTGAAAGCTATTCACCTGGGGTTCAGGGTTGGAAGTGTGATGGGTTCAGGGTCAGCCCTACCCTGCTGTGGTTCTGGGGAGACTGATTTACTGGGTGGCTCCTCCATTTCCTCACTCAGTTCCACGTATTTTCACTGAAGGTTCACCAGAGAGATAGACTGACATCTGCAGAGCAGCCACCAAGCACAAAATCTAAGATTTTATGACTACAAAGGACAGTAGCAGTGCTCTTTAGCCACAGAGAGTGTGTCCCCAGATGCCCCGATTTAAAAGTATTTCATGGGGAGGGAAGATAGTCATCTGGCTTGTATAGAGTTATCTGCTATATCAGAGATTCCTTAGCATATTAGGTTTGGACATTTTTCAATTGTGTGCTGGAAGTTTCTCCAGACGAAGGAAAGGCACTGAAAGTCAGAACTTGGAACATTTTTCCCCTTGATGCTCTGAGGGAGCATCTTTGTGGACCACAGTACATCCCCAGAATTGACTTTGGCCCGGTGAGATCTGAGACGGCTTTGAGTAGTGACTTGTGAATGACAATATATGTACTTTTATACCATTACATCCAGTAACTGATTTTTAAAAAATACAAACCATGCACAGATGGGTTAGCTTTGGCTGGCTAAGGGAAATCACTTACCTCTCTATCTTGCTTTGTTTTATTTTGTTTCTGGGACTCAGAATCATGAACCATGTTCATTTGCAAACAGATCTGATTTTTGTGATATTTTGAGGCTTTAAGTAATTTAAATCAACTAAACCTACTAATGTTGCATACTAATTTTTTAATAAAAAAGTAAGAGGCAGCAATCATTGATTCATTATAAACTTATTTTTTCCCCCAGCAGATCATTCACAGGTCAGGCATAATTTTTCTTCTCTCCAAATACATGTTTGCTTGCACCCATCCTTGCTCTTTATTTTTTTGTAAATTATTAGGTTAGTAAACACTCCAGCTAACTTGTAAAAATTTCCATTGGTCCCATCCAAACTTACCTGTATGCGTTCCCCTTTTATTTATTGTTTACATCTAGCTCTACCATTCTCTTTAATTCTCTTTAAATCTCTTTAATTGCAGATGATGTCTATGTATGTGTTCTATGGATTCATAGAACAAATATTTTCTGAGCACATACTATATACCAGACAGTTTCCTACAAATTGGTTATACAGAAGTGAACAGAACTAAACAAATATCCTAGTGGTCGAGTCATACAATACAAGAGTTAACTTAAAATATGTGTCATGTTGTATACTTATACATCTAAGGATTAAGTATTATTTAACAGTAAAGCAGGGAAATGACAGAAGTATTGGGGAGCACATGCAATTTTAGAGAGAAGGATCTGTTCAATTCAGAGACTAATGCTTTAAGAGTTGTGAAGGAGGTTGGTCTGAAATTTGCCTTTGGTTTACATACGCAACAGATTTGCGGATAACTAATACTCTACACAAGATAATAAAGGGGCAGTGGAATCTATTTCAGAAAAACGCTCCTTTATCACTCTTGGAAGCTACATAAACTATGTCCATGTTCATCTCAAGGCAACTTGCTTTAAGTATTTTAAAAGGCATTACTTTATCCCTAATAAACTATGACTACTTTATGCATTATACCTGAATGTGGTACCTATATATAAAAAACTATGCAACTCACATCTTTTCACTACACCGGCCCACTTTTAGTCTTAATTAGTTACATTTTACTGTTACATCCTGGCTTGCCTTAACGGTAAATTATGCAATTTAGGCACACAAAAGAAGGGAAAGTAAGGATACATCAAGAGACCTAAATACAAATTTCACATTATTTAGAATCGAGCTAAATACAAACAACAAAAACTCTACAACATGGGAGGGTGAAGAAAATGAAAACATTTCCAAAGGTATTTATTGAGAAATAGTAAAGATATACATATTTTTACAAGCTTTTAATATTAATTTACATTTCTTTAAATTATATAGGCCCCCATAATCTATACCTTACTAATACATAACAGAAACCCTTGACTTTGTGAGATCTCCATAATGCTACCCTAGTAGGGAGTCAAAATGCAACTTTGGCTCATGATGCTTAAGTGTGTTTTTAAAAGAAATACTAAATGCCATATTCACTGAGAATGTAGGCTTGTCAGAAACAAATGTGCTTTAAAAATAATTCATTCTGGAGCATGCTGTTGACACTATTTTGCATCTTAGCTCACCAGAGAATAAAGAAAAAAAATTAGAGAGTTATCTACTTTTTGTGCACAAACTGCATGATTCTAATACATACATATATATATATATATATATATATATATATATATATATATGCATGCCTCTGAATTAGATTTACAAATGTTTGCAGGGGTATAGTGACTTAATCTTGCATGCTGTAATATTATACTCAGGCCATCTATCTCGCTATCTCAGGTGCACCACAAGATGGTTACCTTTGCTAGTCATATACCACATTTGTACATAGCTCATTTTAGTTGCAGAATATTTTTCAAACTGTTTTACAATAAGGCACAATATTCTATAGGTAAATAGAATGTGGATATTGCCAAAGGGGCTGGTGTTTTGTTTGGTGGTTAATTTATTTTCAGATCACAAAGGATGAGTATTTTCTATTCCTAAGGCTGGAAGGGAAGGGTTCTAGTTGGAGCATGCTCAAAGTTGCATGACAGTTGTGCTGTGGGCTCACTGGCCTGCTATAGATAAGCTCTTCTTCACCCCAGCATTTAGGGTTTACGCTGGCAGCCTCTCTGAACACATAATCAGAGGAGATGTGTGTGAGAAATAGCACTGGCTGATGCAATCAGTGACCCCTCTCTTTGCCCTGTGAAGGGTGTTCCTCTCTGCACCTGCAGGTTTAGCAGCATAAGAAGCCTTGCTTGTTTGATATGAAAAAATTTAAAAATTTAGATGTAATGCCACCATTCTGTCATTTAAACAAACTGGCTATACACTAAAGATAATTTTGTTTTATTCACAGTAATAAATATTTACGGTTTTAGTGCATAAAATATAACTATTGATAATCAATGCAGCTCTTTAATTTTTTTAAACTGTTATTTTCAAGCTAAAGGCTAACAGAAATGTAAGAATTATTATCATCATCATCATCATCATTATTATTATTAAAAGCATTCCAACCTTAATTTGTCTGCAACTGTATTTAGGGCAGAGGTAGCTAAAAGCTACCAAATTTAAAGAATAAGTTTAAGGTTTGTGGGATAAAATCACAAGCTTATATAAAATTGGATCTCAATCTCTTTCTGCCCAACGTAAACATGGCCTTTGCATTCAGTAAAGAAATACAGGTTTATAGCCTGGAAAATAAAATCACATTTCCACAGTGACTGTTGTGATCAGCGTGCAAAGCGCTGACTGAATGGGAGCCTCTGAGGGTGAACTACCCCAACCAGCCTCTGGTTAGGGGCACTGTCTGGTAGCTGGGCTATGACATTTCAAACAGAACTGTAGGTGCAGACATCATTAAAACACTCCTAGGTCTTGAAGTCTTAAATTTCCACAAGGGAAATCATGTCACACAAAATGACAGGAGAACCTGTATCATGTTCCTAATATGGGCTACACACCAAGAAAAAAAACACATGCAAACACAACAATGACAGGTTCTCCTTGCAATGAATGCAGTCCATTTTGCAGTAACAGTGCAGGTAGAAACTAAGGTACGCAGGTCTGTAATGGAGAGAAACTGGGTTGATGTGTAAAGACAGAGAACCAGGTACTATTTCACTGTTGTAATTTCAGTAATGCTGCCAAGATCTGGCTCATTTGCTAATGTAATTTAATGATGATATTGTAGGTAAAATTTTCATTGATTCACTTTTTCCATTAGAAGCCATCTGGGGCATCCATCCACCTCCCACTACTAGTGACGCTTCATTTTTGCAATGGCATTGGGAATAAATACACTTGGCTTTATTTTAAGCCATTTTACTCAATGTGAATCTTAAGCCATGTTCCTGGCATTTTCTAAGAAAGTTCAGGTGATACTTGCTTGTCATTTTTATGAGAATATTTTCCTCTAGCAACTTACACTTCTCAAAAAGTCACACTCAAAATAGTGCAAGTCGTCATGAATATGGCTCTTAGTTTTCTCCAATAAAACTGTAGAAAGGGTACTCGAGACTTCAACATACATTTCACTTTCTAAGTAAAGGTCCCACAGTCTTCTGCAAACCTTCTGCTTATGGTTGGATGCACAAATAGTTGCCTCATACAATTACTGGAATTATTAAGAACCCAAATAAAACACAAGCTTACGTTTATTATTGTTGTCTTCTTATTGCAACAAATACTCAGTTTCTTGCTGATGCAGTGTTAGGCTTTGATAGCTTGAATTTTAAATTTGGTCATGTGAAGAATGATCACAAAGGTTTTGCTTTTCAGTATCTACAGAGATTTTTCAACCAAAGTTACATTGTAACACACAAATGCTGTCTTGTCTTTAAGGCACAACACATCAGTATGAACATTCTGTTTGCCAAACTTAAAAAAGAGACAATATTAGGTTCCCATTTCCCCTCCCTCTTCCCTCCCCAATGAATGAAAGAAAAATTGCATCCACTTTCAAAGTCAGCTGCTAATAAAGTCACAGTAAATTATCTTCATCAATAATTTACACAAATTACAGGTCTAGATAGGATTGTCCTTATACAGTCTGAGTGCATTCCAATTCAGATTTTCTGGGCTAGGTAGGCTAAAGTCAGATTCAAACCTCAGGGCTGCGAAGATCTCCCGTTGTGAGGAATGTTGTTGAACACCACCTTGTCGGACGGAGCACGTGTCGGTGCTTTGCCAGGGTAAGAGTTCTTTGCTAAAGCTGTTAATTCCAGTTAGGACTCATTCGGTGTGTACCAGCAACCTCCACAGATTTGTTTGTTTGTTTTGTTAAACCATTAAAGTGTTGTAAATATAAGACCATAGAGCTTCCTGTCTGTAGCACTAAAGTTTAATCCTGTTCAGCAATCTGAATTCTTCATTCTGGAATTTTCATTCCAAATATGATTTCGTTCTTTAAGACAATTTATATGTGTAAAGCCAGAGGCATTGAATCACACATAAAAATTCAGTGTACTTGAAATATAAAAAAACGGATCTCCAGCTAGAGAACACAGTTACAAATACTCTAATTCCAGTGCTTGATGTAGAGCCAAGAGGTCTGAGTGACTTGATATCCTCCAAAAGGGCATGTTGTGCTGTGTGGTTAAGAGAAGGGGAGATGGGAGAGAGAAGGGGAAGGAATGGAGAGAGATCATAACTATTGTCTCAGTGAAGCAGCCGTACACACAAGGATGTGCAGTCCACCCCAGTTCAAGGGAGGGAGTTCAGGAGAGGGATGATCACATTTGAAGGCTTGGTAGCATCCATATGGCATTGTCAAAATAATAGAGAAATAGATCTGAACTGGATATTAATGATAGGAAAAGCAAATATGGAGGTTTCTTAGGTAATTTAATATTTATTCTAGGAAGTCTCATTACCAACAGCAGCACCTGGGAAAGCAATTTGGGCATCAAAATCCTATGTGGCTGATGGAAAGCAAGTTTTAATCACTACCTCACTCATAAAATTCCATGTCTCAGTTAAAAATAAAATTTAAACATGATAAACTTCCTAAGCCCAAGATCTTTTGTCTTTCTGAGAGGAAAAGAGTGAATCTCTTTCTATGTAAAAAATAATTTGAAGCTGTACTATATAAGGTAGAAAATAATGTGGAGATGATCAACTTTCTTACTTTTCTGGGGGAACTAGTTTAAGTCAGTAGAGTTGACCAATTTATTTCACTGGTGTGGGACTGAGAGAAAGCACGCTAGCAACCATTCTCACTGGGGGAGACACAAGGAGACAAACATGGGTCCTTATGGGGCACAAATTCTTAGACATGACAACAGTTCGTGGCCCTATAAAAATATACCAGTATCTGGTATATGTGTGGTATTAAAGTTTCGTAGAGGGACGTGCTCAGATAAAAACATGTATAAAACCACTCCATTGTGGGTAATGAAAAAATGGAACATTGCACTAGAGCAATTAATAGAATCAAAGCATTATTTGTAAGTTTCAGCTGATGGCATCTTATAGAACATTTATATATATTCATATGTATAATGGAAATACATTTGTATAAAAATGGAGAATACATTTTATTATAAAATTATTAAAGTAATAATCACTATTGTTATATAATTCTTTACTGTCTAATATGATAGCCAGTAGTACCATGTGGCCATTGAGTGCTTGAAATGTAGTTTGTCCAGTTCAAAATACATATTGAATTTCAAAAACTCAGAATGTAAAAAAAGACTGTAAATATCTTATTAATAATTTTCATATCTGTTAGGAGTTGAGACACTAATATTTTAAATATCTTGGGTTAAATATATTACTTAAATTAATTTAGTCTGTTTTTACTTATTTTTAAACATGGCTTCTAGAAAATTTAAAATTACAAATATGGTTTGTCTTATATATATCTAGAGGGGAACATCACTATTCCTAAACTTGGAAATTTCTTCAATTTAAATTTAAAAAACCCCTACATTTTTAGATCAAATTAAACACAGAAATTCACCTAAGTACATATTTTTCATTCAGCTCAGATCTATTTGTAATAAAGAAAACGGTACTTAATATTTCTGCACATGCGATTACAGCTACATTCAGAGAAAAGCATGCATTATGGATACTAGAGAAACCAACCACCTGTGTTTCAAAACAATCATAAGCCTTCACCACCACCAAGACTGTACCTACATAAACAACCATTTGGAAACAGCATTCTAACCGAGGGTCGTACCCTCTTGGACTCATGCCTTTTCTCCTGAAGTTTTAGGTGTAGAGCACAAGTTATAAAAACTGGTATACCAAATCTAGTTTTCACGCCATGGACCACTGGGGTATAGATTTTAACTTTCAAAGGCATATACTGTTCTGGTTTGGAAAAGTGAATTTTATTAGCCCTAACCACATATACGTAAATTTCACATAGGCTGAAAGACATGTACATGGTCACTGTAGCAGCTGCATTGACTGCTATTTGTTGTGTTATTATGGTGTCAATATGAAAATCGAAACAACGTGGACTCGGGACATTGACAAACTCTAGAAGATATTTCCATTGCGTACAACTGGGTGATTTCAAATAGTAGTCAGCAATGAAAGGCGTATTTCCTGAGGGCTGCATCCCTGACCTCAGCATACAGAAGGCAGGGCCAGTTGCTGTCTAGGGTCACTGACTGCTAATTAAGACCGAGGTACTCTGGGGGGGGCCAGGCCTGCACAGGCTCTCTTAATGTTAATGGCCAACACATCAGCTCACCTTCTAAAGTGGGAGCTCTCTCTCTTTCTCCATTTTGCTTGGTTTGAACTGACTACACACACAAATAATTTCCTTTCTCTTTTTATGAAGGCTCTAAACTTTTCTAGGAAACTGTTTATGTTGATTTTTTGGAGGAAAACGAAAGCCAGGTAAACACTTCTGCACATGGGAGTGTTTAGTGAAGGCTTTATTAGATGATGATTTGAAATTTCCTCAAGATAAAAAGGACAACATTCTTTCTATGTGAAACACTATAAGCTGATATGTCATTGTTTTAAAAGATCAATTCATCATTTTGCTTTGTTTTATAAATTATATCACTTTTGTCCTGGCTAGATGATAGTTTTGCTCATTCAAAGGAGGAAGCGGCACATCTCTGTTGTGTTGACTGATAGTCTGGTGTCTCCGCCAATCCTGATATCATTCCTCTTTTGATCTCAGACCAACCATTTAATGGTTTTTAACTGCCTTGATTTCTCCTTCAGAAGAAATATGGGCCAGATGAAAAGGCTTATTTAAATACCTAGGGCCTAAGAGATCTGAATATGTTCGAAGCCAGCTGCTTGGCTTCAATCACGTACCAGTGGCTCACCAAAATAGACAACACTCTTCTAGAAGATGTGAGGCATGTTGCCTCTAAGTCTCTGCAACGAGTTGGCACAAAAGGATCTGAATAGTACATCCCTTTCCAGTAGCACTTATTAAATTTTCTCACAACAGTTTCTCCTTCAGCTATTAAATCTACCCTCAGCATTTGTCATCAGGGAGCATACTAGCTACTGGGCACTCACAAGGACCACATGGCATAGAGGATGGATGGGGAAAAGGGTAAGAACTGAATCCCATGATTTTCTATAAAGTTCTTTAAGCTTTATATTGTGAAATTTCATGTGCTTAAAAATGGTAATTTCCCCCCATCTTTCTTGCAGACCATTATATCAGTGTGTATCACGCACACGTGCACGCAACACACGCACACACACACGAAGAACTATAACTAAATTTCCCCCCGTTTCCTATCAAATTTCAGGCAAAAAATGCTAGACTCCAAATGGTTTATTTGAATGTAAGTATTGACCTTCTCATGCTCTTACTGCTTTGCATCTGTAAGTTTAAATCATTTACCAAGCTGCCACTGGGCCAAACTACAGGAATGCAAACGACACAGCTTGCATTAGAGGCATCACACCAACACTGTTCGAGACGGTTACCTTTTTCGCTGCCTGTTCTTCTTCTACACCATCCCCAATTACAACATACACTACTTTTCTGCCAAACCTTTGCATTATTCGTTCAAAGCAACTTTCTTTTCCTGGAAGATAAATGAGATAAAGTTCAGAGTGAAGTTACCTGGTTAGCGGCATGCTCCTCATCTCGGCCATCTCCAATCACAACATAAGTTATGTTAGTGCCAAATCTGGACACTATACGCTCAAAACAGCTTTCCTTGCCTGAAAAACAATGCACTGCTTATTCTTCCAGCCACTGCATTCATTAACCTAAAGATTCATATAAAGCGTTAAGTTAATTTCTCTCGAACATCAGTCACTCAAACTAGCCTGCAACCTCTGGGTCAATGAAATCAACAAATATGTTTGAATAAGTCAGTCTTTACTTGGGACAGGTGATTAAACAAATGTGTTCCATGCATCAAAAACATCTGTAAGGTTAAGCATTTGACCCAGCGAAAATGTTAATATCTTTCAATCCACCAAAAGGATATCAGAACCACCTCACAAGCAACTGTACGTTTTTATATTTATCTTTTCATTCTATGTATCAGTTTTATCTGGTTTATTTTAAATAGTATAGACCGGTCAGCTGAAAGTATTATTGTGAACTATTCAAGGTTCACCTATAAGGAAAGAGGGAATGCTAAATGTGGATTTACCTTGATATATAACATTTTCTTCACGTGGCTGGGAGCTAGTCTGCTCAGATTAAGTGTCCTAAGCGTGCTGTTTGGGCCACAGCACTGCTGACACTGTATCCTTGGATTGCACTATGGGAATAACACCATGGAATCTCTACATGTTCTTTTTCTATAACATTGGCATTAATCTCTGAATTTCATTCCCAGAATGTTCATGTAGTCATGGCTATTTTTGCACTTTTTCTTAATCTGATAGCCCCCAAAAATACTAGTTTAAAGGAAAATATTAAAATGATTTTTATTCAGATTAAATATTAGGAAAAATTTGGCCAATAAGAAAAAAATATTGTTTTTACCGGAAGAAATGTCTACCCTAGTATAAAATTATTTGATTTGTCATAAAGCCAAGTTCTATATATTAATCCTGCTAACATAAATTCATACATTTATGTAAAAATGAATGGGATTGAAATCAGGGCTCTGAACTGCAGTGCTTATAACAATGTTGAATTTACTTTGTCAAAGCTTGGCTCTCTTTAACTGTACTCCCGAAACAGCTGCAACTAGGGGCTCCTTTTGCCTGTGTCAGTATCAAAACTCTGCAAGGCCCAGGGCAGGTTATTTTTGGGAAGGGATTTTAGGATTTTGAACTTCTCTTGTCGAGGTGCCAGAGCCTAAATTTGTTGACCTTTGGGGCACATTACACAACCCATCTATTTCCCCAGGCATTTCCTTGACAGACAGGGAATACATGAACTGTTTCCTTTTAACTCTTTCAGGATGGCAGAAGTTGATGAAGTTTTGTTTTTGAAAGTTTACTTGAAGTCTTCGTCTGTGAAACACACTTAAAGTCAAAGATGGCTCCACAGATAGATATTAACCAAATAAGCAAGATTGTTCTTTGATTGCTACTGAACACTTCTGGAAATGTGGATTTCTAGCCATTCATGTGTTATGAATGTTCCAATTACGTTTCCTAATTCGTGAAATTATTTTTTGTCTAGAACTAAGGACACTAGTTCATCTATCTGATAGTTCCCTGCCAAATGGTATTTTTATGTTGGATTTAGATTACATATGCACGGATAAAATACTATCCTTATTAAATAAAACATTAAATACGATGACTAGAGATACTGTGTATTATTCAGATAACATGTGCCAAGATAAAATATATATAAAAAATGAGTCAGACAATAGTGTGGTGAAGGCTTGGCAGGAAAGGTGCTGAATGGAGGTGGTCAATGGGGGAAAAGGGGGACACCTGTAATACTTTCAACAATAAAGATAAATTTTTAAAAATGAGTCAGAACTATCCAGTTGCTCAGTTCAGATAACAGTTTTTATAAAATCTGCATTTGTATGATGAGTTGCAGGGGACTTTGTTATTTGAGTACTATACAAATTTGCTTGATTTTTCTAACAGCAAAATTGATGAAACAGAGAATCATGCAGAGGCACACATTAAGAAAATCCCACAAACGCAGAAGTGAATTCATTTCATAGAGATTCAGAAATAATTTTCTTACCTATTTTAGTTGCACTGTAAATATTCTCAATGGGGAAAGCACCTCCTAAACTATAGAGTAGAACCTTCGCAAGTGCTGGGATCAGCTGGGTTGTCGTTACCAAGACATTTACGCAGTTACTCCTAAGACAGGGAAGAAATACGTATATTTGTTTTCTAATACTAAGTAGTCTCTATGAGTACAGATTTGAATCCTCTACAAAGGCCCTTTGAGAGTGAGAATCAGCCTTTCTGGAATCTACAGCTGATTCTTTCATGGTAGTACTGGGGTGGGGGAGATAGAGGAAACACCAAGAGAGTGGGAAGTGCCATGAGGCAGAGATCCAGGAAGAATGGACTGTGGTCCTTCCTTCTTGTGGTCCTTCCTTCTTAACTGTGGGGAAACTGAGCCATCCTGCTTTGAGGGGCTCAAAACCACACCTGTGAAATTGGCAATCAGAAGGCAGGTAGCTGTGGACACATTCTCTATTGGATATTCTGTATCGTGAGCCTTTAATACGTATTTGTGAGGGCTGTAAAATATTCTCCAGATTAATTTTTAGAAACCTGGCCTTAATGGTAACTTAGAATAGCAATTCGAGTGCTAATTCTTCCTAGAGATATATATATATAGTACACTTACTATTACGCTTATATTCTTTAGATATATCATTTGTAAGAGAAACCTACAATTTATGCAAAAACAATTACAATACCTTTGCAATTAAAGCTTTTAAAAAGATTAATTTCTAAGTTATCTCCATAGACATCTTATTTTATAATAAGAACTCTGAGTCCTGGAAGCAAATGATGAGGTCATCAACTTATACAAGATAAAAAACAAGGAGTCCTAGAGGCAGAAATTTAATAAACATCATCAATATAATCCTTCATTTTACTGATGAGGGAATGAAGACCTAGAAAGTGATTTGTCTATTATCAGGCAGAAACTCCCCAAAATAATGACAAATTACTAAGAATAATACACAAACACAATACTATGTTGTGATATTTAAAGTTCTACATAATATTTTGTCAAAATAAGATGTTATTCAGTGTCATATGTAAATGAATGTTACAGAATGAAAACATGGTGGAATAAAGCACAGACTTGTTAAGTATAGAGGTGTGGTTTTGAAATCTAGCTTCACCATTCACCCTGTGATATTCAGAATTACATCATTTATTTTTTAAATTACAAACATTGCATATATTTATATACAATTTATAATGCATTGTAATTTTTAATTACAAACATTGCATATAATTATAAAATGCATGATATATTTGTAAAATACAAGTTTAAAGAAGACAATGAAAAGCATCAATTATTTCACCATCCACAGATGTACATTTTATGCATTTACTGTGTGTAATGACTTATTTTACCCTTCATTTCCTTGTTATGCTTATTTCTTAAAAATCACACACCCATGTGACTCCTTTAAGGCCATGTATTTAATAATAATCTGTATATAATTATGCAATGTAGATCATGCACATAATCTACATAATAATGTGATAACCTTTGGTTTTTAACCACCTAGGAGACCTCTTTTTAGGAATAGTAAAAGCTGTTGAACCCCCCAGAGGAATGCACATTCCACTACATCTTACACACAATTTCAGGGCCTCAGGAGTCCTCACCCCCCAGCCTTCCTGACCTTTGGTCTCCGTGTCCCCAGTTACAGTGGGCATGAGGCAGCAGGTCTCATCATAAAAGCACCTTTAATTGTGAGACAATTCTTCCTCACGGAGCACGAATCCCGTTTCTAGGATTCCGACTCAGCAGCCCTAATTCTCTCCTTCACAGACACAGAAACTTAATTTATTTTCAGCTCCAATAGTTGAATCGGGATTATTGTTCCACACATGACTCTCCTTCAGACTAAACTCTGCGGATCCCCCTCCAACTGGTCCTTTCATGTGGTTTCCACAGCCTAAACCCTCTGGCCACTGGAAACAAGATGCTTCCAATATGTCACAGCTCACTGGGATGTGGTGCCCAGAACCGAGCAGAGTACTCTGTCCTGGCTGTCCCAGCCTGACCCAGGAGGCCACTGTCCCTCCCCTCCCCATTTAGACCTTCTGTATTCAGTGCAATTGCTGGTCATGACCCACATCTGGAAGCCACGTGCAGGAAGTGATGCGCCCCCATTTACTTCTGTGTTCTGAATACTGGACTCTCCTTCTTCCCTGTCAAGGTTTTTCTGTATCCTGACTCAATCAGTCCAAATAGCCTTACCCCCCTCCCTGAGTTTTGTGTTACCTACAACTTGCTAAGCATGCTTTTATTTACTCATCTAACTCAGAAATAATACTAACAAATAGGATAGTACAAAGATTCATCCCCACCCTGCTAGTTATGACTTTCCAGATTTATATTATTCATTAGCATTCAAGGCACATGCTGGTCAACCAGCTAGAAGTCTCTTCAATTCTATCATCAACACTAACAACTCACTATTTCACTGTTTAGTTCAAACAACACAAAGGTTACAATTTTCTCAGGAACTTTCTCTTCATTTTTTTGATGCATTGAAGTCATGCATATTATCTATGACATGAAAACTTAAAAACATCTACTTTGTATAAACAGTGTTGCTTAATTTTGTCATCTCCTGTACTTCGTCACCAACAGTAATATTTTTTTTATTAGAAGTCATATGATCTTCTGCGGGGATCATTAGTGGCTATGACGAGAGAAGGGTAGGGAGATGGCATCTCTTGGTTATTCTGAGAAGCAGCAGCCCCAACCTTCACCTCAGCGCGCGCGCGCACACACACACACACACACACACACACTGAAAGTCATTGGACGCAGTGAATTGTTAGGTCCCTTCAAATGCTAAAATAGTCTAGGAAGTAAAACATTCATATATGTTGTGCTATTAGGACGATATATTCAATACAATAAATACAGAAACTGCAACAATACCACTTACCTAGTACTAATAATTGATAAAGACTTAAGTGCATTTGTTAGCCAGGAGTCTGTCAGGCCTTCGATCTCTGCCCTTAGCTGCAGCCATGCATCTCTCTTGGCAGGGCCAAGGAGTCCTGCAACACGGAAAAGCAAGGCCAAGTCACGAGATGCACATTTTCCAAGAATACCTAGTTTGGTCTCCCTTCTATCTAGTATAGATAATTTTTATTCCAGCCTATATCAGAAATGGAGAGAGATACTGATTTATATCAATACTGATCCTTCATTTCAGAATTGATTATCCATTCATTCATTCAACAAATATTTATTGAACTTCTACATGTCAGGTACTAGGCTGAAAACTGGGGATGTAACAGGGAAAATGTGGGCCACTGAACCTAGAATCTGACATAGTGGATGCCAACCACCTGAGGAGCTTTGACCACCCCCGTGCCCAGTCCCACTCCAAGGCTGTGATGCAGCAGGTCTGGAGGAGAGGTCAGGGTCTACCAGCCCCATATAAGGATTACCATACCTCAAATATCTGGGCTGCCTGAGAATGTTCAGCTTCTTAATAATCACAATCATTACCACTTTGAAACAGTAATAATGGCATTTTCATATGTAGCTTATAGGATGTTTCTAATATTTGTACTAAAGTGATCACAAATATTTTGCTTTATAAGAAGTTAAGAATTGTGTTGAAAATCCTGAAGTATATGACACAGTTATAAACAGTGGTTGGAAGCTATATTGGGGTTATGATAAGAAAAGAAGTAGGCATGCTAATTTTATTTAAGCCCTTCCTTTTATGGTAAAACAAGATCATGTAAATCTATTACAAAAGAAAATTTCTTACTTTAATTGTATTTCAGAATACTGGGAACACATATATAGGTGGATTATTTGATTTTTTAAATCAAAATGTATAGTTTCTAGCAAGTCTCATTTGTCCTTATACCAATATAGAGATGCTAATGCGTCACAGAAAATGGACTCATGCCACTGTTTAAACTTTTTAAGATATACGATTATTTATTAGTAATCTTGTTAACTTTGAAATAATTTGAATAATACTCTTCAAGAGGGAAATAACAACATACCGGGATGATAAAAATTCAGATTTTCCAAAAGGATCTTTATTTTAAAGTTAAACATATCACCCACAATTGATTTTAAATAGAATACCTATTTACTTGATTTTACAAAAGTGGCTTGTACAGAGCATTAGAATGAATTAGTTGCCTCCCTAGAACTCTGGGCAAGGCAGGAGCCTGCAGAGGCCTATTTCTCACTTGGAAATGAAGGTCTTCCATATGTAAGCTCCCTTTTGGTTCTAACATTACTGTCTATGGTTCTACATTTTTTCTTCTCTCGTATGGAGTCACTGGGTATCCGCTGAGCATCTGTTGTGTGCCTCAAGCCTGGCAAGGCACTGGGAATACAAGGTGAATGTATCACCCTCATGATGAGTTTGGGTGTGTGTAATGCAGATACTACAGATAAAACATTTTCTTACTAGACTGTGTTCCATGGCACACATGTGGATATACATACGTAAGGTATGCACAAGCATATTAGCTGTATCATTCAATTTTAATTCTGGTTTATGCTCCTCATTCATCTTTCTTTTTTCATTTTAAAAACAAACAAACAAACAAACAAACAAACAAACAAACAAACCACCTTGGGAGAAAACTTTATGTGACCTCATGGCTAATCTTAGGACCTTGACCTACAGTTGATCCTAATAATAGAGTTCATCAAGGTTTATTATCAAGAAGCACATTCTAGATCTAAATTTTGATGTCATAGGTTTGGGTATCACCTGTAATATGTGGATAAGTATAAAATGACTTAGATATTACCTATGAAGTTTTGAACTTTTAAAAAACCATAATAATCACTGTACATGGGAAAATATACTGTCCGATAACATGCAATTTTTAAAAGAATAAAACAGGCTCCTTGAAGCCTTCAAAATAACAAAAAGCACTCATTTACATTTATTTCTGATAGGATCCCAGCAAGGTAATGCTTGCTCACAACTCTGTTTCCATGGCGGGAGCTTGTCTTTAAACAGGCCTTCCCCCGCCTCAGTGAGTTCCTCCGTCTGGTTTCACTGGTAGCGTCCCAGCTGAAGATGGCAAACTAAATGCCCTGCCGTTAATCGTGACAAAGTATCTGGGAATAATGAATTCCCAAGGCCTTTGACAGAGCTACACATCTTATTTTGCAGTTAGATTCCCCCCTCCCTCGCCCCCTTCTAAGAAACTTAAAATCCTGGCTCAGGGGATCTGCATGAGCTCTTGCTAATGTATTTCCCGGTCGGCCCGTCTCTACTATGGAACGTGGAACTGCAGCTCAGGTTCTCCCTCTCTAGGGTGCCTCTATGAGGATGAAAGCCGCACCTACCTCCGACATTGTTCTTATAGGTGTTGTATAATTCTTTTACTCTTCTGTAACGAAAAGCCAACTTCCTCATCCAGTCAACCCCTCCTCTTACACCTGTTGGCAAACAAAGGTTTGCACTACTTGCAGCTGCATGGAAGCCATCAGTTGCAAAGCTGTAGGTACTGCAACACCCAAAATATATTAAAGAGAGATAAAAGAAATAATTACAGGTGCAAAACTCCATAGCTGAATTTCTGTAGGAAAGAGCAGACTAGAAGGCATGGCTTACCTTAGGTCCTGCCCATTATCATCAGAGGAAACATCATCTATATGAACTTGATCACACTCCTGTTAAAAACATTGGAAAAGTTACTTGTTTTTCAAATGATGCTTTGTACCATGCTGGAAGGTTTTTTTCCACCTTTCCATTTGGATCAGGCCGTGGCCAGGAGATGGCAGCATTTGCCCATCCATGCCAGCGTCTCCCGCTGAGAACCCGCATCCTACCCTGTAAAACCCGAATCTAGAAGAGTGCCACAGAAAGGGGTCTGAGGACACATGGCACGTGGGTTTCCTGAGAGCAATTTGAAAAATAACTTTAGTGTTGATTATTGATAAGAAATTCTCTTTTGAGTCTTTATACTAATCACTGGTGTTCCCTTTCAGCCATTTCTCCATTTCTGTTGTGCATATGTAAGTACTGAAACAAAGATAATCTGAACATACACAAACTTATTTGGTGTGAGCACCTCGGTAGTTGCTGTTGTTTATTATTTGTTGAGCAGAAACAGAGGGCTTGGTGATTAAGTGCTCTGTGAGATTTCTATGACTTCCTGCACTGGGCTGGACCAGAGATACCGTGAAAGAACCAAGTGGTGTGACTGTGGTCTTTCAACACAGAAGAAAGCTAATAACCACAAAAGGCGACATTTTCTTTTTTTCTTTTGGTCAAGTTTTAAAATCTTTAAACAAAAAAAATTCTTAAAAGTAAAAGGGGAATAATGAAGATTTACCACATACAATGTGCTACAAACTTAGAGGAAAACAAACTTTAGGTACCTATACCCAACAACTGACCTGATTTAAATTATAGCGTGCTCAGAATAAATGGCAACTTTTTGGATAAGAATTCAGTTCTTCTTTACTATTCTATCTTCAAATAATCTGCAAAGTTCCAGTGAAAGAGTCTATGACCTAAGGGTGAAATTTGGCTGGAGCACCTAAAAAGTCCAGTACTTACTAATCTCAGAATAAATATGTGTTAGCTTTTTGGGCTTCTTCTTTCCCCCTCAGATTATTTCGGTCAGACTCACAGATTCTGACTTTATACATAGTTTGCTTACTATTCAAACCCAATTTAAAAAATTATAAACTTCTTACAGCTACTATCCGCAGTCATTATAGGACTTGAAAATATCTGGTAGTGAAATATTTAATATTTCCATCTCCAGCTTTCTGCCCCGGCTTCTTTTAAAATATAAAACCTTAATGACTAGCCCAATCAATACAATTTTAGTACATAAGTTGAAAAATACAGGTAAATTCATTTTAAAGGTTCATATGATTTACATAAATTACGGGTTTAGTAAATTTTGAATAAATCTCTACCTATATTAACATGTAAGAAAGGGCCCAGTAAAGCTAACTGGACTGGAAGCTCCCTGAGGGGGGTGTTTGGGTCCCCCAGATATACCCCCACTTACGACGCAATCTGTCATAGAGTAATTGCTCAGCAATTCTTTGTTGAGTAAATGGCAGAAGTCTAGACAAATTATAGTTCTCGACAGAAGTACTGCAGTCATTTAAATCTTCTAACACAAAGTTATGGTGATATGAAATCATATTCTACATGGTAAGAACTGTAAGCAGACAGTTCTATCAGGACTGGAGGGGAGGGGGAGAGAACGGGCTAAGGACTGAGGCCAGGGGAGCCATGGCTGGACAGGTATTTGGACTGAGTAGTCTCTGATAGGAGCACAGCCCCAACTTTAACGAAAGGGGGCATTATGCTTCCAGAAAAATCTCAGGGAAAAGTGCTACAAGCAACAGTAGTAGCTGCTTGGGCTCTAAAGGAAAGAGTGGAAAGATTTAACCAGTTTGCATGAAAATTGAAAATAAATTTCTTCTTCCAGAACATGGATTGAGGCAGCAAAGTAGTTCTAGATGACAAGGATTACTTCTTATTTAGAGATGGTGACATTCTTGGTAAGTATGAAGACTGAATTAAAACACTATTGAAATAACATCATGTGAAGCTGCTCATTTCCCCCTAAGTTCTAAAATCTTTCATCATGTAAATAATTTCCATGTCTTTCTTTTACAATAAACTAATAATATCCAAAAAGAGTTTGGAGGAAGTTTCTATGAATTACCTTGGCAATTAGATGTTATTTCTACAGTTAATATCCTCTCATCCTAATTTTTAGAGAAATTCCTCTGACATTTCAAGTATTAACTCACATGATTAATTTATACATTTTGCCCCCAAACTCATTTTTTTACTCCTGAGGACATCAGTGTATCAAACTTTTTGAACCATGAGCTCCATATTTGAAGTTATGTTTGAGGCTTTTCCAAATGGAACTTCTCTTTAAATTTATGCCTAGTTAGCTATGCTGTTGACTCTGGACTCCTGCCCGAGAATTACACTCCAGTGAAAGCAACCTGAACTTCAATCACGTACATTTTTAGAAAAATCTAAATAACTATTCTTCAATTATTTTCATTCAGAGGAACTTTGCAGGAATCATTTTGGCCAAACCCCAAAATACTAAAAACAGTGTAATGCTTTGGCTTTAACAAATTTCAGTGTAAGAACTCAAACATTTGGCATAATTCTGGTACTAATCTTAAATTCTTTCATTTTGTTTTATAAGGCGACCGCAATGTTGTCGCTGATCTTTATCATAGTTGTAATCCACAGCAGTCTTCTCTCACTTTTGTGAGCCAGAACTCCCTGGTGCCTTCTTTTCTGGAAGTTATTCTAACTGAAATAACATTGTATTTAAACAGAGCATTCTCTTCTTTGGGGGAGTAGTGTGAGCATTTGCCTTCGCTGCAGTTGGGCAGGATGTCCTGAAGTGTCTATTGGGGGGATTTAAATTTGTATCTTCTAAGGAATTATGTGAAAGCAGCTGCTATTACATATGTTGCAGTAGCTATTGAAGGATTTGAGTCTCAAATTAGATTTTTAGGTTAAGAAAAGAAACCTTGAGAGATTTGATACACAGGGGGAAAAACAACAACAGTAATAGGCTAATGCTGGAGTTACTCTCTTGAGGAATTCTCCTCTTCATCAGAAACAAAAATAGCTTAATACCAGTTATGAGGCCCAGGACAATCTTTGCTTACAAGAGGTTTACCGAACTAAAAAAAAATTGGTAGAAAGGAAAGTTGACTTTCAAAATCAGATGCGGAAGGAGAGTGGATATGTGTGTAACTATAGTGAATGGTCTTGAAAGCTATTGTTTAGACTTTATTAGTTTTAGTATTTATCTCACTTGAGTCATAAATAAGCTTTTGAGTTTCCTTGGGCATTTCATCCGAATGTGCCTGTGCGTGCGTATGGCATGAGCGTGTGTGCATGCGTGTGTGCGTGTATAAGAATCCAACCAATTTATATGCGAGACCCAATCATTTTTTTGACTAAATACACTTGTTGGATACCAAGTTTTAGTGTTCGAGTCAAATACAATTTTTATCACTTTCTAAACACAACTAAAAAAGCTATAGTCATAGAAAGAAAGTCAATACCAATATTTTCTCAGTTAATATTTCTACCAGAGATCCTGCCAGGTATTTTAAAAATATATTTTATGTAGTACCTAATCCCAAATCAAAATGCTTAAACCACCATAGCTGAGCATGTTTCTGATATGCAAATATTCATGTAGAACTTGCTAAAGGTATTTGCAAATTCATTATATTCTACTTTCACGTTCTGTTGAAAGTTGGGTGGCAAATTTATTCCATCTGTTTTCTAATGTGCCAGTAAAATAGCTAATGGGTCACTTATTCCATTATTTCTAGTAAAAAATAATTAATAAAATGAAATAAAAACTATAAAATTTGGATAAAACTACATAAAACTTCCTTTTTTTGAGTCTTTTACAGTTTTGAAAGAACTAATAATCTTAGAGTTCTCTTTAGAATGAGGCTAATCCATTTTAACCAACAGAAAAAAGTCAACCTAAGAAGTTACGACTCTATATAAAAAATTTAAGTTCCCAAAAGGTTAAAATGTGTTTCTTATTATCATGTGTATATAAAATCATTCTGTACACTAGACAGGGATCAGTAGCAAGATTACTTTAAATCAGGTTTTAGAGAGGTGATTATTATTTCTTATAATAAAACTGAAACACTTGCCTAGAAATACTAATCTTTCATATGTCCATTAAAGAAAAAGAAATAAAACCTCTTTAAACAGACAGTAATTTTATTATCCAGTAAAAACAGTGACTCACTGAAGAGAAAACAACAAAATGCGATGACACAGATTTCCAGCACACACGTTTACAGGACATACTGAACAATGCAATTTTTGCTCTTATGTCTCAACTGCGAGTAAAACTGGATTTAAGACCTTGACAATTTAACAAATCTCATTGAAGACACTAACGTGGCCTCTCTTTCTCACACACTTCTGTGAATTTCAGCGTGGTACGGGGCCGAGGTGTGTGCTCTGGAGCCAGACAGGCCCCAGGGTTTCAAAGCCCAGTTCTACCACTTAGCAAGCAGTTACCTTAGACATGATTTTTATGCCTGTGCTCCCTATAGTTCTACCTCTACAAAAATAATGTGGTAAACATTAATTTCAAAAGGTTGTTAATTAATTAGTGGAAATTCCAATATAAAAATGTTGAGCACAAGGTGAGGGTTCAGTAATAAAAATCTCCCTCTTCATTCATAATATTATAGACAAAACTTTTTTTTATTCCACTGTGAAACCATGAGATAAAAAATAAGTTTAAGTGGCATTTAAAAAAAGAAAGAAAAATCTCTTTCAGCATACTGGTGTTTGACTGGGAGGTACTCCTGCCCAGCGCCCAAACTCCTCAGTTATTTCACATTTTATTGTCTGAATGCCTAATGACTCAGATCATTAGCAGATTATATACCTATTACAGAACCTATTCAGCTATCCTGAGGCTACTTTTCTGTTGGGTCCTTTTCATTTAGTAGTTGGAAATGAAAAGATAAATTGGGGGGGTGGGGAGAGAAAATAAATGCAATCAAACCAGTCAGATGTACGATGTAAATAGCTCTAGCACTGTTTTATCTAAAAGGGAGGAAATGAGGAATGATAATGTTGTCTAAAATTAGGTATCAGGTTGTCCACAAAATTTAAGGACCTGCACTAGCACCGTGAATAGTATTTGTAATTACTGTCCAGTGATTAACCTAAAGAGTGTCCTGGTTTATATTCTGAAAAAGCTAATGCTCATTCCAAAGGTGCACCTGGATTGTGGCTGACACACTAAAAGGATGAGGGGCAGTGTATCGGGGTGAGCGGCACGGGGCAGGAAAGCAGACCTTCCCAGATATTTTTGTTCTAACTACGTGCCAGTACATAGGTATAATTCATTAACTAAATTTAGCTTCTGCTTGTATTTGTATATACATTCTTCCCCCTTGACATGAACTTTACCATTCTCTTAGGCTAAATTTCTATCTTTCAGTTCTCTCGAGATTATCTGGTTTTATAGAAACCATCTAAAAATTTTAATAGTTGAATAAACATATTCTTACCTTTTAAAATTCTTACCTCTAAATCATTAAAAAATAAATGTGTATCAGCAAGATTAAAAATCATTTCCTCCATTCGGAGTCCAAGGGTTACAGCCATGGGGGGATCCTGAAAAGAAAACACACATACAGGTAAAATTTCAGTAAGCAGTTATTATAAAAAATATTTCAAGTGCATACTGTTTGTGGTGATGGGGAGACTGCATGGATTTTTACCTGATTCAAAAGATTTCCCAACTATCTGAAAAGGTGCCTTTCCAAAGGGTTTATATGAGAAATAATAAGTATACTAGATGCATCTGTGAATTGAGAGGGATTTACACACACATAATGACCTGTACGTTCATGAGAGGATCCAGTCTACATATACTCCATGGAAAGTCCTTTGGAGAAATGTATTTGGATGGAATACTGAAGAAAGGAACAGACTTGTTAAAAAGAAGAAGGGATGTTCTTTTAAGAATGATGACAAATAAAAATTAGGATTGGGAGAAAAGTAGGTCTATTGGGTGTTTGCAGGGCTTGAGTAGACAACGTCATCTGGAGGTGGGATCCAAAGAGCTGACGGAACATGGTGAAACCATCACTTAATTATGAATTGCATTTTGATCAACAGGCAATATTTATCTGCCTAAGTGTATAGTTTGTTCTAACATGCATTTGACTAGGGATGAAGAGAGAAGGGTTGAAGATAACGAAAGGAACATTAATTCAGGAATGTAATCTAAGTAGAAAATATATACACTTAGAAGTTTAATAAAAGGGGATTACTAAGGAGTCAAAGTGACTTATTTTTTGTTTACAGAAATGAAGATATTACACAGTAGCAAGGAGTTGAGAATCAAGATCAGAGTTGGTACCTCACCATGACTCACTGTAGTTGAAAGCCTGGCATGAGGAGGTGTAAGGCTTTAAAAACTAAGGAGAGTTTAGGGATTGGGCTACGGAAGTAATTCATGCTCAAATATTGTGTTTAAAGTGATCAAAGTTGTAATGATCTCTAAAGAGAACTACTATAGGTGTGACCCTGAAGATATAGAAAATAGAAAACCTAGAAGGAACAAACCCTTGGAACTTGAGGCCAGAATGAACCTGGTGTTAGCAAGGAGAATATGGTTTTGAATTAAGCTGACAAGCCTAGAAGGATATTATTCGTTTTGGCTGAGAAGTCTTTTTGGAAGACCTCAGAGGGTGATTTGGGTTGAGTGGCTGGGCTGGGAGCCAGATTGTAAGCATTTAAGGAGAGAGTACCGAACTTGTGTTTTCAATGGCCTAATAAATGGCATTTCAAGAAATGTATTTCAACTTGAGGAAATGTAGTGCTAACTTGAAATTAACTGATGTTAAGATATGCAACCCAGGTCGGGCCCAGCAGTGTTCACATACACCCCGGAATTTATCCCACTTAGGAAGTAGAAGCCCCTCCTCATTTCACACCTATGCCACGACAACCAATTTTCTTCCTATACTTCCTTCCATAATGCTTTGAGGGGGTCACCCTAGACTGTAAATATATTTGAAGTGTCACCTCATAGTCTGTAGTGATTAAAATCTAGAGAATAGGAATTGAGTGCTAAGCTAAGAAAAGAAAGAGTTCACCGAGGCATGTTGAGCAAAGCTAAGACTTGATATGGGAGAAGAGAAAGGATGGTAAGAAAACGTTAAATGTCAACATAATTTTCTAATTGTCTACACCTCTTCCTCAGAGACTTCTGTGGATTTCATAGCTCGAGATTCTTTCTTCTCAAAAACATGTTCATTGTTCACATACTTGATGGTATCCTGTTCTCATGCCCTTCAGTAAGGAGGACTCTACTTTGACTCTATTGCTAGGTTCATCTGTCTTCCAGTGACAGGATCATTTGGAGCAACATATCCAAACATCAGATCAATTCCATTTTATCCAACAAATAGACATTCCAGAACAGGAACAAAAACATGAAGCACTCATTCTGTCTCAAAGACTTTCAGAATTCAGAGGGATCTCTTGTTCTGTTTCCTTCAAGTATAAAATTCTTCTTTTTTCTTATTTCTTTTTGTTGTTATTCATGTTTTTGTTGTTGTTGAAAGAAAGTCTCTAAAAGTTGAGCAAAAGTTTTAAAAATATACATTTGTCTTTTTTCTGTAAAAAAATTTCCTCTTTCTCTTTGGGGTGGGGGTTGGCTAGGCTGAAGACATAGAAAACTTGTAAATATTCCGTCTATTCATGGAACCATGAACAAAATGTCTACAAAAATATCAGGAAAAATCAAATGTAATTATAGCATGAAAACATATAATTCCATTAGTGACGCTCTATGCTTTTGAGGAATGTTCACTGATGCAGGACAATAAAACTGAGCTCCTCACTAGTCCGTATGTTTCTGATGATTACTGCCCTAAAGATATATATTTCAGATGGGGGTTCAGAATGGCTCATTTAAAAGGTTTTCCTTCTTGAGACTGGGTTGGTTAAATTCTTATCCTACAATTTGCCAGTTTTCCTTTTGTAAGTTTTAAATAAAATTATTGACTCTCTCATGTTCATGCCTCACATTCTTTGCATTTACAGATCAGATTTATGGGGATGGAAGAAAACATACTGTTCCTCTTTGATTGCTACTTTCATCGATTCCACGCTTCTGAAGTACGTAACTCTTTACGCTACCCCAACAGTGATAGGAAAATCCATGAAAAATGCATTTTGTGCATCTGATAAGCATGCAAATAAACATAACTTTTAGAAAACAGACAAGAATTCTCCAACAAGTAAGCACAAGGCATGGTATGATGAACACTGTATTTGAGCCCTCCACTGGAATGCAAGCCCACGCCACTGGAAGGGCTGCTCATTTGTTTATCAAGCTATGGCGATTCCACATCACGCACTGCGAGAGCCAGGACTTGGTAAGCACTTTGGCAAAATATCATTTTGAACCGGGAAAGTTTAGGTTTGAGGTTTGCCGGAGTGTGAACTAGCTGTATTTTAACTAAACTTTCCAAAGAGCAAGGCTTATTGAGAGGGAGGTGTTTTGTTTGCCATGCCAAAAACTTGCACAGATGGGCTAGGGATAGTCATGCCACAAGCCAGGGAAAATCATGCCTGTAAGAGGCGATCTAGTTTCGAGGAGAATGTCTAGTGAGGGCTTACTTTCAAATATCTAATTTGACTCCCCCCCCCCCATCTTACTAAGTCATCAGGACAACTGATTCTAAGTAGGCAGATTACAGTATCACGTTTTTCTAGCTAAAGGACACAGATGTAAGAATCCAAAAAAGATGACCAGGAATTTGGTGGGGGTGTCCTTAGCAAGGTCTCTGTAGTGTTGGGCTCCCTCTGCCTGCCAGACACCGTGAAAGAGCTGCCGGCGCCTGCAATTCCGTGGTTTTATCAGGCATTTGAGAGTTAAATATACTCTGGACTGAACCCAAGTTTTATACAGAGATGTTTGCTCATTTTCATTAGATGTTTGTAGAATTATGAGTACCTTATGAATCAAGAATTACTGCAGTTTTTCAGTTTACCTGTAGGGAGTGTTGAGTTTAGGGTCTGAAATAAAGTGATAGTGAAAACTTGGACAGAGGAAAAAAGTGGGATACTAAAGGCACCGACAGGAAGCTCTGATGCATATTTTACACATATAACAGTTCCAACAGGTTCAAAGTGTCTACAGCAGAGCTTAATATGGGGCGAACTGAACTTCTGCCAACTTACTCTGTGCACCGCTCTATTAAAATACCCAAACTACTCCCAAGACATTTGGTTTGAGAGAGAGAGAGAGAGAGAGAGAGAGAGAGAGAGAGAGAGAGAGAGAGAGAGAAAGATGAAAGAAATGAATAACTCTTGGCCCTTAAATGTGTGATTCTAAGTTGGATGTTACCAGCATATGACCAAGTCAGGTTCAAGTACGGCAGTTCTCTATGTCTAAATACTACGGCCTATTAGCCAGGCTAGCACAGAGCATAAATTGGAGCCAGACTGTCTGTCTATGGGCCTCTGCCCTGTACTGGGCCATCAGCTGGAATTCCTCCCTGAGGGGCACAATATAAAAATATCTCAGGAGAGAAAGCAATTATGTGATTTTTTAAAAATGGGGGACTTTTTTTTTTTTTTTTTTAAAGAACTCAAGTCCTTGGAACAGTTACTCCTTTGGGACCTGACTCACTCCACGAACCAAGGTGGAAATACTGAGTGGGTTTGTTAGGAAATAAACTCTTATAATCAGTGACAAGAGAGAAAGTAGTCATGAATCAGAAGGGAAATTTAACAATTGAGATGCTTGTCTATGACGGATAGGCAGTGGGCTTAAGAGCTCTCAGGGGAATTGGAGAACGTTTTCAGGAGCATTCATTTATTTAGCACAGATTTACTGAGTGTCTACTATGTGTTAGAAATATTCAAATTCTGAACTGAGAGCAGAGAACAAAATAAGCAAAGTCTTTGTCCTTTAGGGCTTTACATTGTCACTGGAGGAGCTACCTAATATATAAACAAGTGAAAAACCAGACAAATATGTAGTATTTCAGGTGCTGAAAAACACACACAGAGTTAGCAGATACAAAAGACTTTAGGGATAGATGGTGATGACTCATTTAAAGAAAGCTCCAGGAAGGCCTTTCTCAGGAGTTGGCAGTGGAGAGGAGAGACCTGGAAAACGTGAGGGAACTAGCTGTTCACAGACACCAGCGTGGCAGGGAACAGGCGCAGAGGGGAGGAGGAGTCTCGTGGGTGTGGAACAGAGGGAGGCAGAGGGACCCAGGTCTGGGAAGTAAAGCGAAGCGAGTATTAAAAAGAGGAGGCAGTGCTCAGCTGGGCCAAAGGCAGGCCAGAGGCCTCCGCAGAGGCGCCATGATCTGGGGGGAGGTCATTCCTCGGACTGGAAGAGCAGAGAGAGGGCAGCAACTGGGAAACGGGCTCAAGAGGATTTCCTGGTGATGGGACTATTACAGCATGGACTGTGGAATAGGAATAATCCCAACGGGTGGGAACCTGGGGACGCAGGGGCGAAAGAGGCCGTTTTAGGAGTAGATTCCCTGAGTGAGTGAGAGGGTGAAGGGGTAAAGAAAGGGCAGAGAATAGAGTTACGGTGCAAAGGTGAAGTAATTATTTCAGTGGCTTTTTTTTAGCGATGGAGGAGGAGTTTTGTGCAGAACTGAGAGGGGTGCTGAAGGTTTGAGGGGAGAGGTCTGAAACAGTCAGCTGGAAGAGCTCATTCACCCAGGAGCCTGGATCCACTTAGACATGTGGCCACACCAGCTGCTGAGGGACAGGCAGAAAGTACAACCGTGAAACGCACTGTCAAATGTTTGGGGCCCTCAGACTTTGCATTTGTTATTTCATATGAACCATAATCACTCTCTCGTCACCCTCTGCCTCTCTAAACACTGAGCTCAGTGAATATCTTACATTATGAGATAAAACAACAGATACGAATCCATGCAAATATCTTTAGAAAACAGCCAGTTTCTCCAACATCCAGATTCCCTTGAAACCAAATAAAATAGGTCACATTGATGTGTCATTTTGTATTCAAACAAAGTTTGCGAGAATACTTTAAAATAATGAAACTTGTACGCGAAATGAATGTGCATGTCCGGGCTGCCCTGTGGGCAGGGGACAGGCTCAGCTCAGCGATGCACCGCTGAGGTGGGGAAGGGTGAGAACTCGGCTTTGGGAATTCCTCTTAGAGCCAGTTTATGAGTCACTCAAGAAAAGCAGCTTCATTTTTTTAACGGCCCACCCTCCTTGCCTCTCTGCTGGCACCCCTTCTTAGCCCAAATGGAAGTCCTTGCTTGGTTCGGGGATGGAGGCAACTTTATGGCATTTTTGACAAAAAGAAAAATAGTGGTATGTTGACTATGCTTCTTACTCATCGCCTTGGGTACAAATGGCCTTGTTACTAAAGATCAAAATTCCCACGAAAGAATGAAGGTTTGAAGTCAGGAAACATTTTAAAAATCTAAAGGTAATTTGCAAAACGATTAGTTCCACCACTGATTTGGCATAATGGAAGCGACACAGGTGTTTAGACGTGGACGCTGATGGTGACTACTTTGAAGGGAACTTTATTTGGATTCACGTGTTCAAGTTCGCTTGTTGATTTTAAACATTTATCTATATGAAACTTAGCTGCATAAAAATATTGCAATCAGTTCAACAGGACTTACTGTGTATTCCTCATAAGTCAAAATTATTCCAGAAGAAATGCTTTCAATTATGGGCTGGAAACTTTTTAGATGGTATGCTCTATCAGTACTAGAATTTTGGCATGTGCACCAAATTTATGTATAGTTAATTTACTTATGAATTATATACATGTTCTTTAAATTATAATCATATGCATGTATTTATAAAGTATGTACATTATGAAAGACAATAGAGACTGCAAGATACAAGTATGTGTGTGTGTATTTGTGTGTGTATACACACACACTAGTATTTTCTTTCCGTATCTCAGAGGAGCATCTTGTGTATTTCTGGCCCATATGCATGCACCCTGCTTAATGTTTTAGATGACGGTGATTGTGATAAAGGGACTAAGACTCCTTCTTCTAAATGGTCATTAAACAAAATTGCTACCTTTCATACAAGTTTAGCAACATTTGCTACCTATACTAAAAATCAAATGCAATGTGGATTCACCAAGAGTGCAGTTTAGGAGGAAGTACATGAGTGCGACTCATGGTTACTAGTCTAGGAGACAGAGCTTAACAAACTTGCTAAAAGCTGCACATTGAGCTGTCATGAGACTCTATTAAATAATGTGACACTATAAAGACATAGGAAGACACTTCAGTAGGTGTGATATGTAAAGTAACCAAAGTCAGATACAACTTTGAATCCGGTCATTGAAGGAGGGCCACCATGTGCTGAGTTGACTCTGGTTAGATTATGAGCCCTACAGAGTCAAAGACACAAACAGTAATGACCTGAACAATTGTGTTTCCAGCTGAAAAGCCTGTTGCAGCTGCATCAACCTTTGAAACAGCACTCACCTAGGTGTGTAACAGCACAGTTGTAACAAGCTAGCTCACTATGAAAACAATGACAAGAGAAACAAAAAGGAGTAATGAGACCATCTGTCTCTAAATGTATGTGTGTGAGAGGGTGGCTGTTCATGTCCTTATTCAAAGTTACAAAAAATACTTTTATTCATGAATCCAAAGGATCTGTCAGAAAAAGGTATTACAATTCCACTTCCTTATTCCCAATGGCATTCTACAGCAACATTTGGGGCAACAGATTAATTCAAGCAATTTCTTAAGGTTCCCTTATTAGAGGATAATATGTAATTTTATATGTTTAATGTCCATTTCAATTTACAAAAATTTTTTGTAAACAATTCTATCAAAGTAATAAGCTTGGTTTCAATGTAGAAAACTCAAAATCATGAGGAAGAAAAAAGAATGCAATTTATTATTAATTTTGTAAAATTTGCTAATTCACAATAAAAAACAATGGGCCCCTAGAAAGAAATAATGAAGAGCAGATTTGACAGATTGCAATAAAAACACTTAAATGTATTTTTTTCTAATTTTTTTAATCCTCACCTAAGAATATGTTTTTCATTGTTTTTTTAAGAGAGGAAGGGAGAGAGAGACAGAGAGAGAACATCAATGTGAGAGAGAAACATTGATCAGTTGCGTTACGTATGTGCTCCAACTGGGAATGGAACCGGCCACCCAGGTATGTGCCCTGACCAGGAACTGAACCAGCAACCTTCTGGGGCACAGACAAAACTCCACCAATAGAGCCATCCAACCAGCTAAATGTATTTTTAAATGGCTCTTGATTTTTGAACAAAATCAAATTCTAACAAGGTTTTTTTGGGGGGAAATTTCTTGATTCCTTACCTTGCCGTACTTCTGGGCATAAGAACCTGTGAGCAGTGAATGAAAAACAATGATGGTTTCGTCCAAGTCCCAGACAAATACACGCTGAAGAAAAAGATAAATATCAACGGATTATCAGATTCTAAGGAAGCAGACATCTCTTTACAAGTAGAAAGAATCTCACTTTGTTGTTGAATATAGTCTTGATACCGTTTTAGAGAAACCTATCATACTCTATTTATTTCCCCCCCCCAAATTTTCCAGATATAACCCCTGCAAAACCTGAGAAGCAGAAGTAATACAAGTAATAAGCTTAAAAATCAGATATCCTAATTTGAATAAATTTACCCAAATATTTACTTGCAGTTAATACCCCCAAAGACACATTTGGACTTTATGATAGACGTGAACTTGAAACTCTCTTTTAAAGTTCTATGCCTCATGGATTCATGAAATTTTGCAATAATACATGCAAACAATTAAAAATTTAAAAATATTTAAAAGATTCAATAAGTAATCCCTAAATGGATATTGTAAAGTGTGAGCTCTTGAGTCAGCTTAAACCATCAGATGGGTTGTTTACCCTGCACAGTGTTTGAAAGATTTCAAATTATTAATCAACTTTTTAAGATTAGGAGATTTCATACAAACTTCAGGGTTGACACTGCAGCAGAGAACCTGGAAGCTGTGGCAACGCTGGCTGTGGTTCCATGTGGCAGAGACGGGTGGGCCCCTTTAGACTGGGCCAATGCTCCCTGCTCCCCACAGAAGGCTCGCTTCCTAACCCAGTTCACCCAGTGATTACCACCTGCCCAGAAGAATAGTTTCTCCTGATGTTTTACAATAAAAAGTAACCTGCTTCATATGGATTTATCTCAAAAGAGCTTTCAACCAGAAAAAAATAGCACATGGAAATTTTTACAGATATAAAAATTTTAGCCTATATCAAATGATTGGAATTTTTCCTATTTTCAGAAGACAACACTTCCTTTCCATACCGGTTAATTTTAAGTTTTAAAATTAATTGACCCACATAAATATCTTTCATTACTGTAGTACTACCAAATAGAGTCCACAAGCAATTACTTTTAAATTTTCTGTTTGTGCCAATGTCGGTCAAAAGATGCAATTATCTCAGACCTAGAATTCATAAATCATTATCATTTTTAAGTTGTTATTGTTTTTAATTTGGCTATTATGATGGATGAAACCTCAGACTGTGCAGCTGTGAAATGCCTACTGCAAAGTGGATCCACTTCCTTCATGATATATATATTTTATAAAACTAAATATAGATACATGTATTCAATAAAAGTAAAACATCATATTCTGCTCTTTGAGGCTGAGTCAGCATACCTCCAGGTCGCTGTCGGGAGGCGGGGAGGGGTTATTTTTCCGGCCTCTTCCTCGGGACTTCGACCCAGAACTCCTACATGTTCTCTCATCCAGATCTTTGATGGGCGTGGAGGGGCTCTGCACGGTATCAAACTCTCCTATAAATAACATAACTTACATCAAGAATAGCACTTCAATTTTAGATCAGATCTGAGTCTTCATTATTAATTATCTCAACAAATTCTTATATAACAGAAATCTCCTTAGGGAAGAGAAAGGGAGAGAGAGGGAGAGAGAGAAAAAGATTTATACTCCCAAATACCCCAAATCCTAAGGGAATAAAAAAATTGTCTGTAGGTCAGGCAAATCCCTCCTAGTTTCAGTCTCTGTGATCTATCACACCTGAACGCCTTTTATACAACATAGGCCCTCAACTTCCTGTTCCTGCCCCCGCCGATATATTTATCTAAATTTAGATCTGTTCTCACCTCCTGACATCAGAGTTCAGAGGAGGAAATGTCTTCTGGATCAATCCCATGCCTCCACCTGCAAACCCGACTCCCCAGCCTCACCTCTTAGGGAACCCCGCTCCATCAGTCAAACCCTCTCTTGTCTTCCCGCCAGCCTCTTCCTCTTCTGGGGTCACAGGCAAGTTTAAAAGTCCTTCCCTTTGACCTTCCATTTCCATCTTGCTAGCTATCTTATTTTTTAAAATGGCATTTCTTAAAAGAATAGCGCACCCCAGTGCTGTCCAACAGAAATGTAATGCGAGCCACAAATGTAACCACATATATAATTTAAAATTTTCTGGACGCCTCATTAAAAAAATGTACAAAGAAACAAGTAAAATTAACTTTATTTGTCCATGTTAATTGACCCAATTTATCCAAAATATTCATCTCAACCTGCAACCAATATAAAATTATCACCGACTTGTTTTACGTGATCCCTTTTTCGTACCAAGCCTCGCGCGCCGTGCGCACTGGCGGCGGACCCCAGTCTGTCCTGGCCACGTTACACGCGCTCGCCGGCCACACGTGGCCAGCAGCACGGCACAGGGCAGCACATCTCTCTCCACTTCCTGGCACCCCATTTGTCATCACTTAGCTTCAGTTCACCAAAACTCGAAAACGACTCATTCAAAGTGCCCGATAATCACCTCATTGACAAATGCGACAGACAGACTCAGAGCTTATATTCCTGGGTCCCCACGGCGGCTCTGATCCTGGTAAGCGGCACCTCCTCAAAGCCACTGCTTGACAGCTGGTACCCCGCACCCTCCCAGGTGGAGAATCTCTCCCCCAGCCCTCCTCTGCCTGGGAGACACGGCTCCTTTTTCTTCTCCCGTTCCTTACATGCTGATCTTTAAGAGTCCCATCCTTTCATCACTGTCCCACTCGTGCCGGGTGACCCAACCCTCCCAGAGGTTGCTCAGCCTCTCCATGCGACCCACACATAAATCTGTACCCCCCGAGGCTACATCCGAAGTTTCAGACCCTGAGTCTAACTGATTTCTGCATGTCCTACAGGGATCTGAAAGTCTGGCATGTCTAAGGCTAATGGTGAAGCATCTTATGAGGTAGGGAGTACCGAGCAGCGGCAAATCTGTGTGTGTGCGGGCGGGGTGTGTGCGTGTGTGCAGGCGGGGTGTGTGTGTGTGTGTGTGTGTGTGTGTGAAGCAAATGAAGGCACAAAAAAGTGCAGTCAAACCTCACAAGTAATAAGAGTCTGTTTTACCCTATGGCTGCAAGCATTTTACTCAATCTCTCTGAATCTCAGTCTTTCTGTATATTAAAGCATCGATAATAGCAGCTACCTTTTTGAATTATTGAGATAGATATGATTTATATTTAATTGGATTTAAATCACATGCATAAGTAAAAAACTTCTATGAGAATCTGATGGCAAACTATATTAAATTTAGGATATGCGATTTTTTGACATAAAGATGTTACGCCTATCATGCTTTATCATGAAATTAAAGTAAAATAATTTTGAGGAAAACTGAGCAGATTTTAATCTAAATAACCAAATCTGAACAAACTACATAACATTTAGGTAATATTTTTTTCTGAGATGTACTAAATTAATAGTAAATTTTACATAAGTAGCTTTTCATCATTTATAATGATTATAACACTTTCTTTGGGAAACACTGTGCATGTCAGGACAGCATCAAAAAACATATGTCTGTGCTCCGAATATTATTTGCTCTTAAATCACTGCTAGCACAGTTGACTGCGTGGGTCTCTGCTATCAACGGTGTGAGAGTAGACAGGATAATAAAAAGTTCTTTAGTTATGAGGTTGAATATAGCCCTATCTTACAGTAAATCATGTCTCAGCTTACTTGCATAGGCATTGATTAGCCTTTAGGTATTTAAACACCCACTAACTTCTAAAATATATCACAATATTGTTTCTACTTTAATTTTTTTTTAACAGAATTTTCCTAAGGTTACTATGTCCTGCAAATCAAATGCTCTCTTTCAAACAAAATGCTGACTCAAATTAAGCCTCGCTTATTAAATAAGCTCATGATAATTTGGGGGGAGGACATTCCATATGACCTGTCTTTCTGTTCATTACCAACCATATTTTCAGGTGTTCACTATCCTCTGGCAGCTCCGTTCTTGCAACAGTGCAAGAGCTGAAAGGCCAAAAACTTGCAAAATCCCCGTCACTGTGATGTTATGGGCGGCTGATGGTTGACTGGACCCATAAAGAAGGAGTTGGGCAGGAACAACTCAGCTATTCCGATAAACTGGGAGCCAACAGCAAGAGAGTGAAAAGAGCAGGAGGAAGGGAAAAGAGTATTCACAGGAAGTGTCTGGGTCTCAGTAGAAGTAGGACTTGATACCGCTGATTCTTTCCAGTTACTCAAAGATCTTAAAAGGGCTTTAGAAATATGGACAAAATATAAACAGAAATGTTTTGATGGAGGTAAAGGCATAGCTTTTTAAAGAACTAAGAAGTGCAGCTCCACATTTATTATACTTTAGTATCTGTCATGTACTGTCTTCTTTCTAAAAATGTTTATTGAAATACATTTGGCTTATTCACTGCTCATGATGTCAGTGTGATGATTTGCATCAGTAGCCTGGAACAATTGTCTGTTCTTTCCTCAATGTGGCTAGAATTTCATTATATATGTATGCTATGCCTTATTTATTCATTCTGCTGATGGACATTTGGATTATTCAGGATTTTAGGCAGTTGTGAATAAAGCGGCTATAAACATTCTTGGTCTTGTCTTGTGGACATAAGCTCCCATTCCTCTAAGGTATATATACCTAGCAGTGGGATTGCTGGGTCAGAGGAAAGGCACACGCCCATGTTTAGTAGACTCTGACCACCTTTTCCCAAAGTGGTTGTATTAATTCACTCTCCTACTAGCAATGAGAATTCCAGTTGCTCTACATCCTTGCCAATATCTCGATATTACTAGTCTCTTTTATATTAGTCATTGTGGAGGTATGGTGATATCTCATTGTAGATGTAATTAGCATTTTCTTGATGAGTAACGATGTGAAACACTTTTTTGTATGTTTATTTCCCATTTGGTATCTTCTTTTTATGATATAACTGTTTACATCTTTTTTCCATTTAAAGAACTGGGTTATCTTTTTCTTATTGATTTGTCAGCACTCTTTATTGTGAAATATATTCTATGTCTATATCTATATCTATATCTATATCTATATCTATATCTATATCTATATCTATATCTATATCTATATCTATATCTATATCATCTATATCTATATCTACCTAATCTAAGTCTCACTTTGACCCAGTGAATTTGGTCTTTCACTATCCTCTTTTAGTAATGGAAAAACTGGAGACGTGTGGAACTTAACTTACCAAGATGAAACAGCTTGGATGTGGAATTCTGGGAAGATTCCAGAACTGCTGCCTTAACCACCAGGCTATCCTTCCTCCAACAAACAGCAACAGACCCTCCTGATTACAAGCCTATATCTGTTTCTACTAATCAAGAGTTATACAGATTTTATACAATTTGTCAGAGTGAGAGCCAAGAAACTTATCGAAAGAACTTCATAGTAAAAGAGCAGGTCCTAAAGTGGCCAAGGCTGTCCCTGGGCTCCCACAGCCACCAACCAGGTGGAACTGTTCTATACCTTTTGAAGGTGCTATCCTTTTTTCTGATAAAGGGTAAAACCAGGAACTTGAGCCCAACTGGTCATTAAACATTTGTTGACACCATTTTTTTTTTTTAAAGGAGAAAGCTGTCAATTCCAGTGCGTCTGCCAAATTTCACCCAAGTAGTTGCACTAGGGTACATTAATACTGTAGGTAGGGAAAATGCAGATTGGAAGAGAAGTTGAACGTGGAACAAGTTGATATATAAATCCTCTTGTTAGCGTCAATGAAATGAATTAGCACTTTGCTTTCCTTCCTGTCCTTAAGTGAAATGCCATGAAGCTATGGAAGTCTACCGTGTTCTGCCTAAGAAACTGGCTTCTTTTCAAAGAGCGAAGTGATCTTACTATATCCCTTACTTTTCTGAAGCACTAGTAAAGCTTAATTAGCTAATGTATTGTAATGTCTGCCAAGGTCTCAGAGTAAAGGATAATATTGTTATAAATTACTAATTATATAAAATTTTAAAGATGTTTAAAATATTTTATAAAGGAGGAGCTGTTAAAATTATCTCTAATTTTAATGTGCTAATCATTCATCACTTCCTGAATGCAAATCAAAATTATAATATACCTAAGATAATCTTTACGTTAAAAGCAAAGACAGATCTTTATAAAGATAATGAACTAAAATATCTGTTCTTAATCAGCATGATGATTTTTCTTTTAAATACGCTGTCAAACTACTGAGTAAGGTGAAGTAATAACTGAATGCTATTTGCAATTTCCAAATAACATCAGTCATTACCAACTGCCTTAGGCATTTTCTTGGACCAACACTATACATGATTGAATAATTACCCTTTAATCAGTACCGTAATGAATAACTGTACCTTCCCTGCTTTAGATATTTAGATCCAACTTTTTTTCATTAGGATTTATCTCTAAATCAGAACAACCAGCTGTCTCTTATAGAACATAAAGTCTGTTTCTATTTTAAAAATGGGAGACATCAATGGTGATTGATTTATGAAAAATTGTGGATTTAATTGTTAGGTCTCTGCTTCAATTCCAAAATGCAAAGCTGATTAATTGGAAATTTTCATAATCTTAAACTAAATACTTCAGATTTCATCAATAATAAAGAAAAATCTCATAGTTATAAACCTGTTTACTTTTTGTATGCATGCCAGATCTGAAAAGGCAAAATCAAAATTAAAAGTACCTTAACTAAAGTTCTGAGGTCAGACATGTGTATTGTTATGACTTTGGTTGAGAGAATTATATAGTTACAAGTAGAAATAATTTCTACTTTAAATTTAACAGAAAATCTGGTAAGATCTGAAAATTATCTGTCATACCTATAAAATCTTTACATAAACCAAGGCCACAAAACTTTCTTCCATGTCTTCTTCTAGAAGTTTTACAGTTTTAGTTTTTACATGTATTGTACATGGTATGAGTTATGAGGCAAGATTCTGGTGTGTTTTTGTTTGTTTGGTTTTGTTTTTTGTTTTGGCATGTGCATGTCCAAGTGTTCTAGCATCATTTAAAAAAAATTATTCATTCTCCTATTGCTTTTGCACCTTTGTCAAAACCCATTTTCCAGTATACATATATTGGTGTATTTCTCAACCTTCTGTTCTATTCCATTGCTCCAAGTATGTGTCCTTTTGCCAATCCCACACATTACTGATTACTACACTTCATAATAAGTCTTAAAATCAGGCAATGTGGGCCCTCAAACTTTGTTCTTATTTTGTAAAATTATTTTGGCTATTCTAGTTCCTTTGCCTTTCCTTGTAATTTTAGAATCACCTTGATAATTTCTCCAAAAAGTCCTGCTGGAATTTTGATTGGGATTATGATGAATCTCTATTAAACTTGCTTTTAACTTTAAATGCTTCAGCTGGGTTAAATATGTGTCAGCAAATACGATTCCAATGAGAAAAAAGATACGCTTCAGACAACAAAAAACACAATGGATTTTAAATATGTGCTAATTAGAAAAAGATACCAGACTACTTAGCAACGAACCTACAAACCCTAGGAAGGTAGGGAACATTCACTGACTGGACGCACTGATGATTCACAAAGGTGAAGGAACTCTACAGTCTCTCAAGCATAAAGGAAATATGGCCAGTTATAGCCAAAGAAGATAACACTACAACTTTTCTATGTTGTCAAGATCATCACAAAATAATTAGTCTGGCAAAAGGTCTCCTGACCTTTCGATATTCATTTATATTCACATATATACTGCCATTTAAGATTAAAAATCTCCTAACTGCACCACATCTAAAAGAAGTGTTTTCTGAAATGCCAGAAGGTCATCTTATACAGTGGTACTAGCACAGATTTAACATCAGTACAACTGTCTAGGAGCTTTTAGCCTTGTTTCTGAAATGTCCATTTTCTCCATAGTATTAGACACAGCAAAACATATGAAAGTAGTTCACCTGGATGAAGATCTGTACCTGGTTGGCTAGTCAGTCCTGGGAGAGATTCCTGCAACTGATAGGTGGAGGTCGAGGACGATGTACCATCGGCTGTGTTATTTGATGTCATATATGCTCCGTACGTCGATGCTGAGTAATACTGTGCATACTGGTTTTGGCCAAAGGCTGTGTAGGATGGATAGTCCTGAAACAGCAATTGAGATGTGTGTGCATTTCAGAGAGAAATGACTCTCTGCTAGGCTTGAAAGGAAAGCAATCTATGGTAAACTGTAGGATTAGTATCTGACTCCCTTTGCCTTGGAGTCCACAGCTTTGAGATGATCCCAATGGGCAGAGTCGATTTTGTGGGTATCTTCTGCGTGCATATTGTCATGAACTACCTGGCTGGTTTTGCAAATCAGGTCCAATATACACATTTTCATCTGTCTACAGGGTACATATGCTTCACTCTGTCCCTATAGTTATCTATCTAAGGATTTACATCCTCAGGTAGTAGGCACTTGAAGAGGCAAGAAGGAGATGGGATCAGTTCACACTCACAGCATCCGTTTTCATAATCTAACATCACCTTCAAGGGGAGATGCGGGCGCCCCTCCCAGCTTCCATGCTTCCACCTCGTTCTGCATTACTGTGATTTTTATTCCCCTTCTAGGCTATCCTGGATAATTTTGTTTTCTTGGCAGGAGGTAAAGAGTAAATAAAAGAAGAGTAAAAGACTTTCCTGTCTAGTCTCTCACAGGACACATGCCACCTGAGGCCTTGACCTGAAGTCAAGGTTTTCAAACATTTATTTGACTTATTTGTTAGAGAGAGAAAAAAAAAAGAGAAAACAGGATCAACTCCTCTGACCTGCTTTTTATTAAAAAATTTTAAGGACCTTAAAATGATCTAAATAATCCTTCAAAATCCTTTTACATATTAAAACGATGAACAAGGATTTGTTGTGATAACTGATGTTTCATATATCTAGTGTGTTTTAGTTCACACTGTTATTAATGATGACAAAGCCTTGGTCAGGATTAAGATTCCCTAATACATATTCCTAAGGGGGAGAAGAGCCACATTGATGTGACTTCCAGAGAGGGAATTCTCTATATAAGTACATACGTCTCCAAGCAAATATTATCAGAAAGGATTAAGGAGTATGGCAGAAAAAACTAAAATTCTACTTGTCTGTTAATTTCTAGATTTGATGTTTCCCATTACCACCCATGAGCCAATAAAAACACCAACTTATTAGCAATATTTGGACAAAGTTCCTAGCAACACATATTTTTCGGAGTCAACAGTGAAAACAAACATCTACCTAGTAATTACTTTGTGTCAGGTACTGTTCTAAAGCCCTAAATGGATTTAGTCATTTAACCCTCACAACCCCCTGTGCAGTATTATCATTATTCACATTTTATACTGGAGGGGGGAGGCACACAGTGCTTAAGCCATCTGCCCGGGATCAGGCGGCTGGCAAGTTCGGAGCTGCAGCTGGCAGCCAGAGCCTGCCGAGCATCCGTGCCGCAAGGGAGATGAACTTACTGACTGCAAAGGTCCGGACTACTAGCTTCTGTGAAGATGATGTCTTTTTGCACTCAAACGTATCTCAGTATCTCAAAGATCTTCGCTTCTCTTTATTTCCACTATTATCACCTGGCCCAAGCCACCTTCACTCCTGTTGTAGTCAATGGACAGGTTTTCTAATTTGTCTCCTTGAGTCTACTTTTGGCTTTCTCCAAAGTCCCCGAAGCCAGAGTAATCTTTTCAAACCATAAATTACATGGTGCTACTCTCCTGCTCAAACTCATTGAATAGCTTCCCATTGGGATTGGAATGGAATAGAAATTCCTTCCTTCACATGCAGGCCCCTGCCCACCTCCACAGACGTGTTTCCCCACCGGACCTTCGTGTACAAACTAAACTCCAGCCTGCTGTGAGTTCACTGACACACCAAGGTCTTCAGCCCTCAGGGCTCTGGTCCATGCTGCCTCCTGCGCCTGAAACACCCCTGTCCTCAGTCTTCACCCAGCCCTTACAAGACTTGGCCTAAACGTCAGTTCCATAGAAAGGCCTTCCACAAAATCTCCTCTACTCAAATTAGACTTCTAATAATATTTTTAATAGGACCCTGTTCTCTCCCCTTTTGCTTTCTAATTATATATTTACTTGTCTGATTACTGGCTCACTGTCCACTTTTCTCAGTAAGCTGTAAGCTCCATGAGGTAGGAATCAGGTCCAATCTACCCCGCCCCCACTTTCATTTCCTTGGAATACCGACCAGTTCCTAATACAGAATAAGTAATCAATAAGTATTTGCTAAAATAATAAATTGGTACTCAGTCCATGGCCCAAAATACAGGCTACATTTTATATTGGAGCCACTGTATTTAAATATTCAGGCAGCATTGGATCTGTTTTATGATATAAATCTTTCCTCTCCTTTATGAATCTTTAATCCTCTCAAGTAGAACAGAGTAATTCTTTCCTTTATGCTATCATCCAACCTAGTAAGCTAAAAAAAATAAAAATAAAAGCCAACAGTAATCCAAAAGGAATTTTATTTAGTAAGAAATGACATTTTGGACTAAAAATGACAGTACAATCCAATTACTGAATATAGTTCAATCAATTAATGTTCAGAAACTGTTTTATCAAGAAAAATAAAATTATGTTTAGTATAATTGTGTTTAGTCTTAAACTAAATTATGTTCAGTTTAAGATTATAGGAAAGTATGCAATGCATTTTGTAATTCCATGCCAAATGATTAAAACAATCATAGCTTAAAGGTTTAAAGGGTAAACCTTCAGCAAACAGGAAACCTAAAATATATAGAATTACATATATCCCTCAAATTCTGGATAGCCAATTTTTATTACCTCAAAATGCTATCTTAATTTTAAATTTAAAAACCTTATTCTGGGAGAATATGCACTTACATGGCAACTTGAAACTATTCTTCCCAAATATGAAATAGATATAAAAAGCATAAATACAAAAAAACTACTGTACCTGTTGTGAACCGCTGAAATTCGTTGAATTAGAGACTGAATTATTTGCATAAATAGTAGATGACGGTGCAAAACTAGAACCTACAGGTAAATAAAAAATTGCATTTTAAGGTATTTACTGTAAAATAATAAAAAAAATTTCACTTTGCAGATTTCAGTGAATTCAACATATTTTTAATTTTTGTTGTTAAGACAATGCAATTTGCAGTTGAGAGATTTATAAGGAAAATGTGCTTAACTTTATCCTTCTGGTGACAACAGGTAACTTTTAGAACCGTCTGAACAAGGACTGCATGCAGCTAACCTTCAACAGTGAAGTGCAGACGCACTCAAAGAATACAATACCGTACAGGCTGAGACTACTTCCAGACTTTTGGAACTTCCGGACTACTGAACCTTCACGTGGCCATATCAACTGCATTTGCATCCAAAACCACCCGAGTTAAACATCTGGACAGTGTTACCTTAAGAGATCAACAACGGAACCCACCTAGAATTAACTGAAACTTGCAAACCCCTGTCTTTTCATTCCTCTGTCCTTTTCTTAGAACAAAAAGAGCTAGGAACTGGGGATCAGACTCAATAGGGTTTATACTGCAACAATCCAATGTGTGAGGGCCTTCTAATATTTACTATTTAGGCCAGATATTTATTCAATGATTTTTTTACATTGGGGCAAAAACAAGCGAAATATCAATTTACAGATCATTTATTTTTTAAATACATTCTTTTGGAATGTCCTTGTTACAGGGTAAAATGAAAAGCTATTGAGGCAGCTGATTATTTTATCCCTGAGTTTTGAATGGTATTATGTAATTAATGCAGGCTGACCTGACCTGGAACGTGCAATACGAAAGTGTTTGGGGGAATAAATGAAAATGTCTCTGTGGTCTCTCTCACATACTTACTGAAGCTGTGTGGCTCACTGTGGCTGGAGCATGTGCGCAAACATGTTTCTATCTACATTCTAGGTAAAGAGAGACCTGCCGTTTGAGCTAAAAAGGTCCAAGGAATTCTTTCATTTCAGTCAACTGACTCAAATGTCAATACTAGTTGCTTCAAATATGTTAATATAGCCCCAAATTTGTGACTCTAACAATATAGACAAAATGACAGATAGGGACAAGCTTTTAATGTTTTTATTATGTCATGAATTTTTTTCTGCAACTACACAATGACTAAAAAGAACTTTTAACTAGAGTCAAAAAGAAGAGGAAAAATTAAACAATGATCATATATGGAGGATTTGGGGGGTGGTTCAAATTATACAAATATTCCTATTAGGCAATGTACTATCAATAGGGGAGAGGTATTTTAGGAATGAACAAAAAAATCCCCATTCAATGATAAATGGGACTGAGAAAAGTGCTAACTCAAGTTTAAATAGCATCAAAACAGCATTATTTACTTACGGAATACTAACAAGAAAATAGTGGGGGTTTTTCATGAACCTCTGAAATCACTTAAGTAGATGTTGAACATGTGACTGTTGGCATGGTGACTAGCTCAGAGGTGGCTTTGCTTGGACCTAGTTTCCTGCCAATTTTATGTAACTTAAACCTAAGTTTTTAAATTGGGAATAGGCCTTATATCTTACATTCAACTTTTCATCATGTTGCTTTTCTGCTGGAATCATGTGAGTAGAGGCTCAAGACTGTCTTCGTGACTGTATAATTCTAATCTGAAGCCAAGGAGTCTCATTCAAAGAATTCGTTCTCACATACCATGTCTCCTGTGTGTCTGCTTACCTGGCATCTGGTAAGAATAAGGTGTCTGGCCCGGCTGCGGGGTGGAGAACCCTGGGCTGTAACTGAGGCACCCACTCTGTAACGGAGACTGAGTCTGCGGCAGCCCACTCTCTGTCTTGATGCCTGGCAACATCACCCCCAGATCTGTTTGGAAAACGCATGTGCAAACCGTTGAATTACTAAATGATCTTACTTCCGAGGGGCACCTTCTATTAGAATCTATCACTACGAGGCAGCAGGATGACCAGCTTTTAACCAAAGGAGAAGAGAGAAGGCGTGCAGTACCGTAAGTGGGCAGGCTGTAGGGCTGTCCTGTCTGCGAGTAGGCCGTGTAGACCGCTGGCTGCTGCATCCCCGAGTACTGAGTCTGGCCTGCGTAGGCAGACATCGTTTGAGCTGCTGGTGTAGAAAGAATGTGTGGATAGGGCCTAAATATCAGAAAAATAGCATTACTGTGGCAACAAAGACTGCATATTAATTCAGACAGCTTAGATTCAGCGAAACCTCCTACCAGCCAGGACGTAATTCTCTTCTTTATCCACAGTATAATTTTAACAGTATAGGAAAGGACATGAATCTGAATGTCAGGAGCCCAGGCTCTGTCTGCTACACACCAATCTAGTGACCTTGGACAAGTAATTTAAAATCCCTAAGTCAATACCTCCCGGTAAAATGAGAAATTTGATTTAACATTGTAGCTAAAGTCTTTTCCAGGTCTATAATTCTTATTTACATCAGATATAGAATTCTCATTAATATGTTAATGAGGAAAATGTAGCACAAGCCAATTAATTCACATGCTTGCGAGCATATTTCCAGTAACCATGAGTGACCTAATGCTATGCAATGACCACAAAAGTCATTAAAAGCCCTACCAAAAATTCTCTACCAAGAACTAAAAATCTTTAAAACAAAAAGGTAGGCAGCTTCCTGAAAAGATACAGAATGCCATTCCCTTCATCATGCCACATTTTACAGAATGCTCCCAAATGGATATCAATCCCCTGCCTGTTTTGAAGGACACACACTATAACTGCTACAGAAAATAATGTTCACATGTGTAAGAATCAGGGATCCAAAATCTTGACACATCTGGCCAACTGCAACCAAATTCAGATATACAACCAGTACAGTTAAACTTGAAACTTCTACCACTGCCCTCAATAAGTTGTCTACATTAGTTATCAAAACAATAGAGCATATTCTTCAAAAACATGTTTATTAGGTCTTGGAATCTAATAAAATGCTGTAATGATGGAACAAATTATGAAGGGATGTTGGAATAAAATGTAATGTTTTTAGATTTGCTTTAAACTAGTCAGCATTTTAGAGTTTTCACTAAAAAATCAGTGTGTTCTGTTTTGAACTTTATGCTTTCCTCAAGGTATATAAATATCCAAAATTACAGGAATTGTCCAGATAAAAGTGAGTGTATCTGTATTTCTAGATTGGTACAGCATATGTCTCTAGCCAACTAATCTATCCATCTATCTACAACACATTTATATACATAAAAGTATCCCAATTCAAGGTTGTTATATGTGTGAATACAGAATAAAGATAATCCTGAAAATTTATTCTAATGGACCTGAAAGAATCTGCTGACCACTTACTTGGAAGGATAAAGCTGTGGGGAATACTGATGTGCTGATCTGGGGCTGTAGCCACTACTTGTTATTACTGTAAGACACAAAAAAGTACAAAAAGGTTGCTTCATAAATACATTTCACTAGAGTACACAAAACCAATTTAAAGAAATTATCACATTAGAGATATGTTTCTAAGACTCACTGATTTTCAAAAAATATGAATTCATTTTCTAAACAGAAACAGATGCCGAAACATTTCATTCTAACTGAACTGCTTCAAATTTGTCCTAAGACCATGAAATGAGTTTTTAAAAATCCTTCCCCTCCATCATTCTTCCATTTTCTCAAATAAGTAGCATGCTCTTATGTATTGATATGCTTTTAATAAATATATTAGATTATAGGTGATTAATCTCTCATGATATAAAGATACATTTTTAAAATTTGAAACTTTATGTTTTAAATTCCAAATATGATGGCAATACATGATCCTTCCTCCATATTTATTCTAAGAGAATTACAATAAAAATTAAGAAAAACGTGATGTTCCAACCTTCATTTTCAAATTGTTAAATGCTATCATTTTCTATCTTTTACCAATCAGATGAGTAATTAAAAATGCAGAGTCCACAGTATTCTGGTAATAATTGGAATATATGTAGTAAGCATGAGTGATAATGCAACACTTAAGAAAAAACATTTAATTGCAAAATGCAGTAGCAATCTTTTTACAAAAATATTTTGACGTATCAGAGATAGAACTTTTTTGAGAAGAACATAAAGGTGAAAGTCGAGTCCTATTACTATTTCACCCAAACATGTAGCCCCAAACTGGAATATGTCCAAAAGTTTGGAAGTTTCTCTTTCCTTTAACCATCTGCCTTGACTAAGACGGATGCATTGCAAATATATGGTCTCTAACGTGTTGAGGAAGGCCCTTCAGAGCCAATCCATACTGGGCAAGCACACAGAGTGTCTTTATTAGGCCATCTGCTGTTCATTCACTTTTCAAAAAGATTAAAGTAGTACACAACGCAGTGCTGGAATTAGTTTAGTCTAATCAATCATAGTTATACTTCAAAGTACTATGTCTTTCTAAGTTGTTCATAATAATTCTGGAGCTAAGCTTTTAGAATTGTAAAAGTGACAAATAGGTTTAGGTTGCTAACTATTTCATGAAACATGAGATTTTTCTATATCGAAATGCTATTAGGTACCCTTGTGATCTACTGTTTCATAAACAGGTAGAATTTAATGTATTTAAAATGCTATTTGGCCTGTACACCCTGAATGAGTATGAAAGTATATTCTAGTTTTCATAGCAACAGTACAGAAAGAATGTTTTCAAGAATATTTATGATTTTGAAAATCATTAATTATGACTAAGGTGTTATGTCCTAAATATTTTCAGCAACCATGATCTAAGTGAACTGGCAATAAATATCACAAAATACGTTGATCAATAAATCATTAATTTTCTACTTATTTATTAGAAACTTAAAGAATGTTTAAAACATTCAAATCAACTCAATGAGAACAGACTTTTTTTACTACACCATGGGCACTAAATGTACAGTATATAATATCAATAATGTTATTCCAAAGAAAATCCAGTCTGATTCATTAATTCACAATAGTGAATACCTCTGTTTATCAAAAATATAGTTGAATGAGGCTTAATTCTATGTTTTTTGTCTCTTATTTATAAAATATCACTTTGGCACACTCAAGACTTGGACTGTACTAATCAGTTATTTTCAAGATTGTAAAACACAAGGCTTTTCCAAAGAGATACAAAATACTGAAAATAAACACTCTCTGTAGCAGCTTTTATTAAATAAGCCAAAGAGCAAAATTATTTTAGAAAAACCCATATGCATGAACACAAGTCTGAGTACACAGGGTGCTTCTTCTCTCTAGTGAATGAATCTAGAAGTTGTCAGAATGCACTCATGACTGTATAAAGACTCAACCTTTCAAATTTCATATTACTGTCTATATGTTCATTTTCTAAATATAATATAAAACCTTTGGCTCAGAAAACTAGGATGTTCACATAAAACTTGGAGAGTTTATGCTTCCTAACTAAAATTTCTACATTTCATTCTAACATAAATCAGCACATAACTGATAACAGAAAATTCAACTAAAATGAGTTGAGATTATGTTGAACAAAATAAAGACAGTTGCTACACAGGCAGCCTAATCTCCGGTATGATTTCTGGAGAACCATGGAGACCTTCCTTTTACTCCCCATTGACATTTAATTAATCTAGAGACACTACCCAAATCACTCAACTCATTATATTCCATCATTTCTGCCTATAAAAGTAAGAAAACTGCTTGTCTTAAAAATTTCCTGAAAATGGATTAAAACAAAATTTTAAAGAACATTACCGGATTCTCAGAGGGTGATGTCAAGCAATTTTCATGTTTTATTCTTATTATCACGGCACCTTAGATCAGTGACTCTCAATGGGCTGGGAGGTGGAAGGTGAGCGTGGGGGATGAGTAGAAATTTTGCTTGCCAGGGGACATTTAAAATGTCTGGAGACATTTTTGGTTGTCATAGTGGAGGGTGCTGCTGTCACCTTGGTACAGATGATAGGGATGCTGCTAAACATCTTACAATGCAGAGGACAATTTCTTATTTCATAATAAGAAATAAGTCAATTTTTAAATACTGCTGCTGTTGAGAATCGCTGACCTAAATTATTGTTGTCCTAAAAGACTTGGTCCGTGGTGTTGGAAATGTTCTATATCTGAGTTGTCCAATATGAAAGCCACTGGGAAAACCACGTGCAGCTATTAAACACTTGAAATGTGAATAGTGTAACTAGATAATTTTTTTTCACTTGTACCAAATATGAATCAATTTAGACTTAAACAGCCACATATGGTTAGTGGCTACTTTATTGGACAGCACAGTCCTTGACGAGTCTTAAAAGAAAACCGAGAAAACATATGTAAAAAAAAAAAGTGAATTTCAGATAGGATGACTGTTCTTTTTCCATCTTTATGTTTTCCTATGGGTATTACAGAAAGTCTCCTGAACAGCCCAGAATTCTGTTCTAGACTATTTATACCAGGGACCACCTCTGAAGCTTTGCCTGTATGGCCTTAACCACCTTTACCTTCTCAGTACCTCAGTATTCTTGCCTATAAAATGAAAGAGAGATTTCTAAAATTTCTTCTGGAGCTAACATTCTATAATTTTGTCATTTAGCTTTCAATTAACTTGTGATTTGCTATTTAAGTATGTTAATAATTACTTACTAATTCCATTCCTTTCCTTAAAAATATGTTCATATGCATTTACTTTGTAGAAAGTTTGCAAGGGTTATGGTGAGTAATAAAGAATGCTAGAGTTAGTTGGTGCCTATTAATCTCCTGGGAGGCAAGTGAATTGCTAGAAAAAATATAGATGAGCACATGAATCTCTATGCAGAGTGTATGGATTATTATTTCTTTCTGTTTGGAGTACTAATATTTAAGTGACTCCATGACAAATGTTCCCAATCAGTGCAAACTCATGAAACTGGATCATCTGTATCTATAAAAATCAAATAAATCAAATATATGCTATAGTGACATTATCCTCAAGGATATACCTCAACTCTTTACATGAAGCTCACCCACATAAAATCCTTGTACATGAGAACATTAGTAAATGTAAAATAAAATAGAAATAACGGAACCAAGATTTAATTACAAGTACTTTTCTGGGTTAAATGTTCTTTCTGCTATATACATTCCTCCTCAAATTAAGAAAAAAGAAAGAAAAGAACCCTTTCACCAGATAATAAACCAAACAAAACATTGTAACTTTAACTAAGTCAACTTAATGCGTGTCCTTCGTGGCCACCTGGGAGTTATCAGGTATTGGTATTTAAAGGGCTGATGTTTAAAGCCACGCCACTGCTCCCTTTGAAGCACTGAGTGAAAGGGGTGCGCAGAGGCGCGGCCCTAATGCAACCAGCATGTGCTCTCCTGCAGCCCGCTAACCTTTAATGCTTGTCACTCAGCTGTTTGCACAGGAGGATTTTTTTAAGCCCAGAGAGGAAACAAGGCTATTTAGAAGGAATCAAATGGATAGTTTTACATCTCGAAGGCAGGAGAAAAGGCAGTTTTTATGTCATGTGAATGGGCAAGTTGAAAGAATAAAGTCAACTATCACAACCTTATTATTAAATTAAACACTGTATAAAATAATTATGAAGGAAGCCAGCTCTGCTTCTTTCTGATAAGAAAGTCAGGGGGACTGTTTTGCTGTCAACTAAAAAAAAATCTGCAAAATGATTCCAAATATAATTTCTAAAAAATGCATAGTTTTATGACAATCAATTCTCAAACAAGTAAATTTATTGCTGACTTTATAAAAACCCACGTTCTAACAGCTTCGGTGTTTATGCTGCTCACTCACTAGGAGGACCCCGAAGTGTACGTAACAACACACGAGCTTAAGGCTTTACCTGACCCAGTAAAAGTGTCAAGCGCTCCATCTCCAGTCGTGGTTGTGGTTTCACTGCTGTTCAAAGGCTCTGTTTTGACTGCAAGGAGAGACACTACGTGGAAGAATAAGTACATGTGAGTTTTATTTCTAAATTGATATCAAAGATGCTGACTGTGCTACGAGTGGTTTTTCTAGCTACCATGGGCATGCAAGAGAGAACTTGAGAAGTCGATGAGGAGAGTTTTGTTAATTTAGCTTCTAAATGGACATGCATTTGGAGAGAACTTAATCTAAAAATCCTCAGGCTAGGCCAGTTCTCTCGAATCTGGCTTTTCAGGGCAGTTAACTTTACAAAGTTGAAACAGCAGTACACGTATTTGCATTTTTAACTCACCTAAAGCACACTCTGATATTATTTATAGTCAAAAGACAGAAAAAAGGAACCATCGGTCAGTCTTCAGAACATTTAATCCAAAACATAACAGAGATGTATTAGCTTATATTTTATTCTTCTCAAGAAGGCATTTTTTTTTTTTTAAATGATTGCGTAAGAGTACAATGGAGGCTTACTGAAATACAGAGACCATGGGTGTATTCATGTGATGGGTGGGAAAGGAGGCACTCAATAAATTTTCTGGCTCTTAAAAAACATGAAAGAGCTACACATGAGGTGTTGGGCTTCTTATTTTAATGGCATAATGATTTTTAATGAATTGTAGAGAGAAGCATAGAATAAGAGATGATTTCTACAGCAATAATTATATCTTTTGAAAATTCTTTAATATGTTATTTCTACTTTGAGGTGGTATATGTTGGCAAAATCCTCACTTGGCAATGATGTAGCCTGGCACATGTTACTGTCACTATTAGATGCAAGTGGGGGCAGTGGGAAAGCTTCGACTCATTTTGTCACACCATATTTTCCCTTTGTGGGCAAAGCTCTGCTACACATATCATCGCAGCATGGGAACAAGCTAAATTATTTTCTACTTAACACCTCTTATGTTTCCTGGAATGATACAGTTAAGTAATTTAGAAGCAAGCAGAAAACTATAAAGAAGAAAGTTGAAGATTAGCCAACCATAAACAAATATGACAAAAAGGAGAGTGGATTAGAGCGTGCCCGCCAACCCAACAAGTCAGCAAGGTTACTTGTTAGAAAAGCAATCAATTAGTGGAGAGACATGCAGTCATGATTATGCTCTCTTTCCACATGAACGGAGCTGACTGGGCCCTCCCTTAGTGAGCTCTGGGGTTCATTTAGTGTCCATGATTCAATAATGTCATAAAGATTTGCTGGAAGATTCAGAGAACTCGATGAGGTTGGAAAGAGGTAGTAAAGAAACTTGGCTTACTTCTCCTAGCGAAAGGGATATTTAAGGTTGACCTATTTTTCAACAGCAACAATAATCTAAGGAGTAGTGTCTAATTATTTGTATAATGATAATAAATTGTGGTTACTACTTTTTAGTAGTAACTTGTACAGTAGTCCATATTATGCTTATAGCTGATCACTAAATTTGCCACTGCAAGAAATTACTACTACATAATTATTTATTGAGAGCCTAGATTATTTACATTTAGTTATTCCTTAAAAGAACCTTGATCAATGCGAATCACTATATCCATTTTATACATGAGGAAATTAATGCTTAGGTGGGCTGAGCACATGTCTTTAGAGCCAAATCTATATCTCTCCACCTTAACAGGGAGTCTTCAGCTATGAAAATGGCTTACGTTCTTGACAGACTCTTCACAATGGCTCAGAGAGTGATAAGGATGGGGCTATTTTTAAGACGGAGTAATTAGGTACACTTTGTTAATAATGAAAATGACAAAATCTGGGAATAGACTAATAAAGTATGTTTTCCAATTCTTCCTCATGAAATATTTTAAAAGACAGTAAGTAGCAGCAAGTTTGAAAGCAGGTAATAACAGCACACACTTAAAAGGTACTTAATACATTCCAGGTGCTCTTGCTGTGCTTTATAGACATTAACTCATTTACTCTTCATGACAATCATATGGGGTGGGTGATACTATCATCTTCATTTTCAAATAAGAAAGCAAAGAGGTTAAATAATTTGCCTATGGTCACAGAGCTAGACTGTGAGACCAGGTGGTACAGTTTCAGAATCCAAACTCTAAAGCACTGCCTTTGCAGGCAGCACTGACGAACCAAGAATTCCTTTAACCTGTACCCATATAAAGGTAATGCAGAGTGTGATCTAGATGGCTGTAAAGGCTCTCTGTGATGCAATGTCCACATTTTACTCCTGACATTTATGACAAAAGGACAGTCCAAAGCCTTCAAGACAAGAGAAAGTTCATTGGAGCTTCCAAATTCTAATTGTGGCTAAATTCTTACTTAAACATATCTAAATCTATGAACATTATTTGTATAATATATTTATTAATGCTAATAGTAAACTATTATTTTGATTTCAAAAGCAGCAATTATATTTTAATTTGCTAGGCTAATGAATTCTGTAGTTTTCTACATGCTCAAAATAAGGGTTCACTACCATAAAAGTAAAATAATAAAAAAAACTATATATAGTACTTTGTACAGAGGAAATACTTGAATTTCTGGTCCCCCTCCCCACCTGTTATCCACTTGTGATTTGGATGTTTTTAATAGAGCCAAATAGGTTTTTTTAAAAGGGCCAAATTAATTTTAATATATGGATATGATTAGATTTTTTACCTTTAAAAATGATCTACAGACTAAACCAAGATTGTATCTGATTACTGTCAGCTGTCAGCTATGACTTCTAACTCACTGATTTCCTCTCTTCACATCCCAACCCTCATCCATATGCAGATACATCCATATCAGATACATATTTTCAAAGCAAATTTAATCTTGTCCCTGTAGTTTATCTTTAGAATTCAAGTATAACATTAATGTGTGTATTTTCTGGAGAAAGTCTGCTTTATTATCATAACAACGTTCGTGTTCATTTGTTGTAACAGCAGGCTTACTCCTTGAAAGGGGTGACCCAAGTAATTTACATTTTATATTTCATCTTCAGAAATCTGCATTTAAATTGGTGTCCACTTAAAATAGCATAGATATATGTAATTCCAAATACACTCCTTTCTGAACCACAAAATTAAACATAGCAACTTTTGACAGTTTAGGTTTACAAAGGATTTCAGGAGGAGTCAGGTCAGGAGGGATACAGTTCATACCACTGCAGTGGAACAGTAAGTACTGCCTGCCAGTTTTACTAGTTGCTACAGCTATGCTTTATGTTTGTCTGAATCAACATTTTCACTTAAAAACTATGAGCTCCAAGTATCTCTGATTCCTAAATATCCATAAAGTATTTAATTTTGTAAAATAATTTGATGGAGCAATTTATGGCTCTCATTCCAAGAAGAAAATGTAAACAGTACAGAGCCACACTAGCAAGTGGCTCTACTGCACATGTATATAACATCCATAAATAAATTAATCACATGTGAGTCAATCATCAATATATTAAATATTCTATAAGATTCTTTTCCATGATATGCAGATTTTAAATACGGGGTGGGCAAAAGTAGGTTTACAGTTGTGAGTACGTAAAACAGAATTTACTCTTGCATTATTATTTATTGATTGATCATTGTATTACTTGTTAATATTAACCTACTTTTGCCCACCCTTTTATAGAAAATGCCATAAACCTGATCACAATGTCTGGTTTTGGTTCCCCCAAGTCACTTTAAAGTATTTTCTTAATCTCCATGTAGAATCAAATATTCCCTCCTTCTACTGTGCACCCACCTTGAGCACATTATGCATTCATTTTCTTGTCTCTTTTCCTCTACTAGACTTTAGGTTCCTTGGTGGCCAGTATCGTGTTCTACAGGTCATTGGGTTTCCATTTCCTAGCACAGAGCCTGGCATATAATAGGAACTTGCCACATTTTCATTGAGAAAGTAAAAATTCATTTTTAGACCCTACCCTAAGTACTCCCAACAGATCTAGGTATTTTTTGTATATAGAGTATAGCTTATCATAAATCTGACACCATTTAGCAAATTAGAAACTTTGCTATATCTGGAAGTAACTTTCATATAATTGGCATGCATTTGCATGCACAAATGTACATATACATGAAGTATGTACACTTCATCTATAGCATATATACATATACATATACATATAGCACATATACATATACAACCCCTGATATATACAGATATATATCAGGGATTGGCAAACTATAACCTATGTTCCAAATCTGCCCGGGGCCAATTTTTGAATAGCCCATGAGCTAAGGATGACCCTTACATTTTTAAGTAGTTGAAAATATCAAAAGAATAATATTATTTTGTGATATGAAGATTTTATGAAATTCAAATTTCAGTGTTCATATATCAAGTTTTATTCAAACACAGCCAAGCTCAATTGTTTACATATTTCCTGTGGCTGCTTTTGTGCAACAGTACCAAGCTGAATAGTTACAACAAAGACCAAATGGCCTGTAAAGCCTAAAATATTTACTCTCTGACCCTTTACAGAAAGAGTTTGCTGATCACTGATCTATATGCTAAGGTATGATTGCATTTATTCTATTTTTCATAGTAGTTCTATATTTTAACAATTTTATAAGTAACAAACATTTGAAAAGAAAATCTAGGTTCCAATATAAATCTGCAGATGTAATTAAATAATTAGGATTAAGGTGATAAAACCTTTTAAATTAAAATAATAATGTAATATATTTAAACAGCACCAATGTAGTATGGTAGGTTATTAAGGTAATACTACCAACTCATTCATATTAGTATAAACTATATAATTAAATTTTTCTTTTTGAAAATCTCAAAGTTAATAGAAAGTTTTTGAAAAGACATTAAATTAGCTTTTGCCTTTTTTATTATAACAATTTTATGTAAAGATCCAATACCAACAAAACCCAGGATTACAAATAAAGTAGTTGACTATCAATGGGAGAGATTATGCACCAAATGCTTAGTTTGTATTATAAACACCCAACATAAAAATTCATTAAAAATTTCATATCAATATGCCACCAAGACTATGTCATTAATAACTGACGTATACCTAACATTTTGTTACTAAAAGTTTGCCTTCTGTGGCCAATTTACATATTCTAAATGCATAAGAATTTATTATCTGACCAAACATTGGAAAGTATTTTAACATAATGCATGCTTTCATTTTCCTTAAGAATTTGATGCCTAGTGATTATTAAATTATTAATTAAAGAAGGGAATATTCTTGCACTTATTACCAAGCAACTTACATACATTATCTAATTTAGGGGAAAAAAGCCTTACCAGAGAAGTGTTATTAACCTTCTTTTATAGAAGGAATGTGAAGCTCATAAAGGTTCAGTAACTTATCAAAGGTGACACAGTTCGTAAGTGTGACAAGATTTAGATCCACGGTCCTCCTGACACACAAGTCCTTGTTCTTCCCAAATGGCCACATGACACTTAATGTTAACAGTAAGAACCAGAAAAACTTGATGTGTAACACTCAGTAAAAGGTTTCCAATTAAGATTAGATATAAATTACTAAATATTCAATATATGTATTTACTATTGTAAAGTTGCCTGTTATATTAATACTACTTTAGAACAGAATAGCCTGTGAGCTAGAAATATTTTTTACATCTTAAATGTTTTAAAATGCAATCAAATTTGGAATATTTTGTGACATGTGAAAATAATACAAACTTTAAATTTCCAGGTCCACAAATGGTTTTATTGGAACCTAGTCTCACTAATTCATTTATGTATTGTCTATGACTGCTTTAGAGCTATGATGGCATTGATGAGCAGTGGAGACAGAGGCGGGATGACCTATAAAGCCAAAAGTACTTACTATCTGGCTCTTTATAGAAAAAGACCCATGAATTAGAATTAAGAGAAACTAAATTCTGGCAGTGTACTTTTAAGTAGGAAAAGTATATTTTAAGTGTGTAATAAAAAAAATTGAAATGAAAACTATAAATATATAAATAATGGGCATAATGGAATGTTCTTCACTCACTGGTCATATATTCTAATATAATCTGAGATACAGCAAGGTCCAGGCGAGCTGTGCCTTGTCCAACTGTTTGCTTGTAATGCACATTTCTGATAGGTACTGAGTTCTCTTTTTTTTAATCTTAAAATTGGATAAGTGTTATGGTTTTGTTTCTATTTTTAACTTTTGATAGTATATTAACTTTTGATTTAGGAAAAGTTTGTTTATACTTTAATACATACTACATATACGAATGTAGTAAATGTGTACAGTTGAAACATTTTAAGAGATGACATTAATTTATATTTTAAAACACATAGCTTTTATCACTGGTGATTTTCTAAATGATGGAATTTTAACTGTTCATTAATGTTACTTTAAGTACTTCAATTGTAATATTTAACATGGCTAAAATAGCAAATATATTTTGCCATAAAAGTCATATGAATTACGAAAATTTACAGGTTGTAAAGATAATTGAGTTTGTGTGGATGGCACAATCTGCTTCAAATGTTCTGATTGACATGACAGTGGTGCTCAACCATTTAATAAACTGATATATAGTTAGGAAAATAATAGATGCACCCATTTTTGCAAAATTAGGAAAAATCTAAGGGAAGTATACTACTGATATAAAGAATCTACGATGAGAATACTAGTCGATATGAAAAATACAGCCAACTGTTATCAATAAACTAAAAGGCATGTTCATTTCTCCTTTTTCTTTACAAGTACTAGACACAGAAAAAAGGTACAAACATAGAAATAGCAACAGAAAGCAAACCAGCAGGGCAAATCCACACACCCAAACACATGCAGTGTACCATCATCTCTCATACTTGTTGCGGAAGAGGGGGTGTTGCAACTCAGCAACCAGTCTGCAGTGTTTAAAACAGTCATGTTGTCCCCTGAGAACAGGAACAACATAAGGGTTCATTGTCTGAATGCCTGGTCGGTGTACACGAATAGTCTTCAATGCCTGCACTGGTTTCTGACCTCTTTGCCAAAAATTATAACTACATGGTATGGCTTTTACATTTTAGTTTATCAGGTCTGTTTTAGTTCAGTTAAATATATACACATGATGATTAGTGAACTCCAAGGTCTGGTTCCAGAATGCATGGTTTTTAAAAAATCTTATTATTTGTACCAAGCTAAGGTTTAAACATTAATGTTTTTACTCCAGAAGTCATCACTAAACAATCTTATAAATTTGCAATCCTGTAATTAATTAGCTGACACTATAGATGCATGTTTAGAGACAAATAAACATTATAAACAAGAAAAATGTTAATCTACAAAGGGTTTGGTATAAAACATTATTACATACAGGCAAGTTGCAATGCACACAACTTTACAAAGAAAATTTTAGGTTGCACAGTTATTCTAAAATAAATGAAAAGAGGTGTATCAATTTCATAAATATTTATTAAAATTTCAAAGAAAATATGATGTGGCAAATGCTGATATCTATCTAGTAATATTAAGTTTCTAAATTAAAACCAATTTCATATAATTTCTTATTGAATAAAAAACCAGATCTATAAAACATCAAAATGATTATGAATAATTTAAAATGCAGCTCATACATATATGTTTATATATATTTATGTAGTATATGTATTCTGATGCAGAAATAATCTTATTTTCTGGCAAGTTGAATGCATTTTATAAAAACAATAGGGCAGAATATTTGAAATGACTATTACTGCTGCCATATGCTGTGGAATAATTATGGGCTAATCAAATGAGAAGGTATCTGGAAAAAATATTCAATTCCTATTTTAAATACATGTTGGATATTATTCTCTTTGTAAAGAAAATTGCAGCAGATATATTTTTTCTATTTCCAAAATTATTTTTAAGAAAAACCATATTTTAAGAAAAAAATTGGGGTAGACTTTCTCTTATAATTCAAAGCAAAGCTAGAAAATAATATAATCTCTTCTTCATCTTTTTTTTTTTTTGGTAAGAACCAGTGCAAATCCTTTGGCCATATTTTTCACATTTTAAAAAATATTTACAAGGGCAAATGCAAAAGGAATCCTCACTAAAGGCTTTCAAAATGTTGCCCAGGGCTGTCTAGCCTTTCTGAACGTTTCCAGTTTTAGAGGAGTAAAAATTTCAAGAAAACGAACAGAACAATAAATAATCCATTAATTATATATTCCCTGTATATAATGCTGATTGTGATATTGTAATGAGATATTTATTAGCAGATCCCTAACACATGAGATGGCAGCAAACATTCCAATGTGACTCCGGGTGTCTTCAAGGCTGCACACTTACCTCCTGTCCCGTTTGTGGTGACTGACGTGCTGCTGAGGTTCGCCTTCTCCAGTTTGGAGCTCCCGGGAGCATCGCCACCTCCGGCCAGAGCGTGAGGACCTGCTAGGTCCTGCATTTCCATAGGCCTGGTGGAGCAGGAAGCAGGAGAGCAGAGCTGAGATTTCAGCCATTATTCTTAATACGCCGCATACACATTCTACTGAGCATGTATGTGACCTCACAGCAGTAAGAACTGACACCGACAGCGAAGAACTTTTGGTTAACCCGGTGAACATGCCAGTCCATTAAAAATTAATAAACAGGTAAAGCGTCCACAGTAGTTAAGCCCCATGATTTGTTTGTTATTTGTAACCAGATAAAATTCCCTTGGCTGGAATCAAACCTGGACCCTTCCGTCCACAGGCCAGTGCTCTAACCACTGAGCAAAACCAGCTAGGGCTTATTTTTTTCTTAATTCATAAAAGACAGCCAGATGAAGCACTGGGAGAGTTCTAAGAATGCATAAAGTATCTTGAAAGAGCTGGCAGGCTAGGGGGAGAATAGGGATAGGTGGGGAGAGACAAGGATCAGTTCTCTGATACAAACACGTGGAACTTTCCATATCTGAATATGTCAGATCTCCCAAATGAGTGAGGGAGGGAGGTGTTTGGGAGGGGTTGGGGGTGGGGGAGGGAAGGAAGATGCTCTGTATGGGTACAGAAAGCCACTGTGGAAGAAAACAATAATAATAAAATGACTTGGTCAACTTCGATCAGAAAGTCATGGGCATGTCACTGCTGAGTCCCAGTTCTCACTCTCTGGAAAAAGCACTGGCCTTTTAAAAACATCAGGTAGCAATGCCAGGCCATCTTAATCCAACCCATTTCAGATCAGAATCCAAGAAACCCAGGTCATCACTGCAGACCTGAGCCAGTTTCTCCTCTGGCAGTAAGACTGGGAGATGTGGATCTTCTCTACTGCACAGTGTCTATGTCTCTGATAGGTAGACAGAGTCTCAGAAAGAGGCCCTCATGAGCCATTTCACAGGCCATGGTCAGAACTGGGTTCAGCCTCAGAGGAAAGGAAATGTAGGAGGAAGAAGACCCCTAACAACAAGGATCCGGGAAGCGGGCCATGCATAATGGGAGCTGTTCTTGAACTTTGCCAGTGACCTCATGCCTGTCCCTGAGGCCAGCATGAATGCTTACAGTGCAAGTGACCTGTCTGCCAGGGTGACCTCAGGCCCTGGAGTAATAACAAATAAAGCCATAAACACACTGTTCTTTGGATACTTTTACCATCCTTGTGTTCCAGGGCTTACGACTTTAGACTTGAGACCTGCAACTCCAGCCCTTTCTTCACAAAAACTCAAACAAATTATTCAGACACAACATGATGTTCCCACCCAAGAAATGTGAGGAAGTATTTTTTAAAACAGAAGCATTTCTCTAAATTTAGGTTGTGAAAGCACTCCTTCATTTGAAAACAAAGAAAAAAATCCAATGAATTCTCCAAGCTTTACTTGAATGATACAGGTCTCAAGGTTCTGTTAGGTCAGTCACGCCATGGTTAATGAAGCAGGAAATTATTTCTCTCTAGAAAGTAACAGAATAAGGCCAAAAGGCTACAATCAAAACATCTAATGTCGTGGATAATACCAAGAAACACAGTGACTCTTTTTCTAAGGAAAAAACTCTACCCATAAGGATTGGACATTTTACTGGAAGAATGAGGATTTTTTAAATACTAGAATATTAAACTCAAAAGGGCAAAGCACTGACATAATGGAAAAATCAATATGGTTCCCTGTTCAAGTTATGACATTTCAGGGTCTGAAGGGACAGTCAGTGCCCTCAAATGCAAAAATATCATTTTATGCTTTAGGCTGTGAGTGCAGGTTAAGGGCCTGTGCTGTAGACGCAAACCTGGGCTTTAAACTCCACCTCTACCATTTATCAGTCATTAGGCTCAAAAGAAGAGATAACAACATTCACTGAGGGGCTACTGTGTGAATTAAGATCACACACAAATTGCATAAAATTTGGCATATATTATATCTTAATAAATGTTAGCTATTACTATAATCATTTCTGTAACACTGTCAATAAATGTCTGATTTGTCCATTTGAAAACTTGCAGTTTCAAGAAAATCGTTTTCTTAAGAGGCAGGCCATTTTACTTTCTTATCACTCAGTATTAGAAAGTTTCCTGTACATGGTTTCCATAGCAATTCAGTCCTATAAGCAAGGTAAGGTACTGATTGACACAGGTCAAATCTAAACATTCTTTCATATACTGCTCTTCAAATATCAAAGAGGGCTGTCCTGACCCAGAGCCCTTCGCTTCCAGGTTAAGCAACTCCAGTTTCTTCAGTTCACTTAGGCCATTTCAAACCACTTTATCATCCCAGTGTTCTCTTCTGAGGAAATTCCAGGCTTCCTCTTAAACTGCGAGACCCATAGTCTTACAGTTATGGTACAAATATGACAGGGATGTTATAATTCTCACTATGGACCCATCATTGTAGCCTGAAGAGTACATTAGCTTTGCTAGCAGATAGATTAGGGTAGGAACTCATACTGAAACCCAGTCAACCAAGCGCCTAAGTCTCAGTCCCATGTGATGCTTGAGAGCCCTGTGACCTCACAGCCACTCTACACTGCAGTTGGTATATGGAACCCAAATGAACAGCTTTTCCTAAATACCACCTAAAAATATCTAAATACCATCATGTTGAACTGAGTCCATTCCTGCTTGCCCTGTTAGATTCTGGTTCTGCTGTTCAATATACTCCTTCCCTGGGCCACGACACCCACCAATTTTCTTAGTATGTCCTCAATGCCGAATCACAACGGACATGTGGAATAGGCCAATGTCAAGGACAAGTCTCGAAGAGGGTACTAAAAGTATATCTCAAGATTTATATTAACTACTCAGAAGTAGTTATTGAACTGATAGTGGTCCTGATTGGCATTCAGTCTCTATTCTGGTATCTTTTCCTTGTAAACCAATCAAGAGCCTTGGATACACACCTTGTTGAATTCCACATGTACTAAGTCTCACGCATGCTCCTGTTCCTCGTTTCTAGTATTGCTATCACAAAAGACTGTGAGGCCACTCTGATAGCCCTTCTGCTTAGAGAATTCTCAAGATCGGAGCCCTTTTTCTAATTATTTGCATTTAGTTACTTAAGAATATAATTTTAAAATCAGCAACCCTAAAGAAATTCCCTGGTGTGTAGTTTATAATGTCATAAAGAAACAATGGTGTGTGTAAAGGTCACTCCAATCCAAGATGACAACCAAGGAGGATTCTGAACACATCCCTTCCCATGAACACACCAAATATGTACATACATATAAATCAATTCTTCCTGAGAGACGACTGAGAGCTGACTCAACAGCTTCTACACAAGTGAGAGAGAGAGATCACAAAGAAAAGGTTGGGGAACTGTGTGAGCTCTTTGAGAACTGAGGGAACTTTCTGGAATCAGAAGTCCTGTTGAGTGCCACAGTGTAAGTTTCTTCTCCACCTAGACAGCACAGGCTGGAGCTCTGTGCAAGAGCTCTACAAATCTGCAGCATATTCTCTGCCTCACCATCCCGAGCCCATTATGGTTCCAGACAGCAAAACTGCCAGGGCACCACCAAACATGCACATTGGGCCACCCCACTCTATGCCCATTCTAGTCCCAAAATGCACGACTACCAGGCCGCCCTGGAGCCCTGTGCCGCAGGCCCCCTCAGCCAGTGCGTGCTGAAGTTCCGACCAGCCGGCCCCCAGGGCACCCGGGTACAACCGGATCTGGCTCCAGCTGGCATGCCAAAACCAGCTGGCACACATGGTATACACAGAGGTTGTTTCTACACAAGGCGGCGATTGCTATTTAATCTAATTCATAGACACAAACACAGAAAGTAAAAGAAAAAAGAAGAGGAAAATGTTCCAAATGAAGGAACAGGAACTCCCTCCAACCCCCCTAAAAAAACCCTTAATGAAACAGATAATTTGCCTGATAAAGAATTCAAGTAATAAAAATCCTTACCAAACTTGACAGTAGAATATAGGAAATCAGGCAGAACTTCAACAGAGTTAGAAAATACAATAAATAACTAATAATAGCTCCAAAACACAAAAGCTAAAATGAAAATGTACTAGAGAGAATCAACAACAGATTAGATCACACAGAAGAATGAATCAGCTGCGGAGGGTGACTGAATGGATAAAAACAAAACAAAAAAACAAACAAAACAAAACACAAGATCCAGCTTTATGCTGTGCACATAAGACTCACTTCAGATAACAAGACAGACACACACTGAAAATGAAAGTATGGAAAATATTTTCCACACAAATAAAAATGAAAAGAAAGCGGGGGTAGCAATACTCATCAGGGAAATGCAAATCAAAACCACAAGATATGTCAGAATGGTTATTATAAAAAAGTCAACAAATAAGTGTTGGTGAGGATGTGGAGAAATGGGAACCCTCGCGCATTGTTGACGTGATTGTAAATTGGTGCAGCCACTGTGCAAACAGTATATAGGTGCAACAAACAATTAAAAATAGGACTACTGTATGACCCAGAAATTTCACTTCTGGCTATTTATCAGAAGAAAACAAAAACACTAACTCAAAAAGATATATGCACCCCTTTGTTATTTACTATAGGCAAGATATGAAAGTAACCTAGGTGTCCATCCACAGATGAATGGATAAAGAAGTGGTACACATATACAATGGAATATGACTCAGCCATAAGAAAGAATGAAATCTTGTCATCATCAACTACATGGATGAACCTAGAGGGAACTGTCCTGAGTGAAGTAAGTCAGACAGAGAAGACAAACACCATATAATTTCATTTATATATGGAATCTTAAAAAAGAAAACGAAACAGAAACAGACTCAATGATGCAGAAAAAGAACTGATGATTGCCAGGGGGGCGGGGATGGGTGAAAAATGTAAAGGGAAATAATAGGGACAAAGTTCGACTTATAAAATAAATAAGCCACAGGGGTGTAGTGTGCAACAGAGAGAATATAGCCAATGATGTAATAGTAACTTTGCATGGTGACAGATGGTTAATAGACTGATTATGGTGTTCAAATCATAAGATATATAAATGTATCACTGTTATACACT